AGGGTTCGTAATCGCCTCCTCCGCACGCGAGCGATTTAGGGTTTTAGGAACGCTCGAGCCGTTAAGGGTTTTTGATGGTCTAAAGCCGGCTGAATGAACGGATCACGGCCCTATAAATAGTTCTAAGCACTATTCCGGACAAAGCAGCCCGGTTCGGCCCGGTTGGGTCGAGGCGAGACGAGGCAACCCTTCGAGAATAAATTAAACGAGAGAGACTCAGGTCACCTGTCTCGCTCAAGGCACGGAACACTTTTCCTTCGTCAACATGCACGTGGACCGTGGACGACACGTCACCAAGTCCTCGAGCCCCGGAACACAGCGGGGGTCTCATGACATCAGCTCTAGCGTTCGACGTGGCACTCTCCTGTGGCACAATTGTGTGTCCTGTCACGGTATGAATATTTTTCTTTCTTTCAGATTTCAGAAATAGCTCGGAACAAAACGATTCCTCTGCGCGGAAACACAAGTAAAACAAGAAACACTTCGCACTTAAAAAAGAACAAAAATATCTTTGCAGCACAAATCCAGAAGTACACGTGACAATGCTCGATAGAGTGAGTACACATGCATAATCGGAGAAATTTAAGGGGAAGCCATGATTACTATTTGTGTCATTACAAGATTAGGCCACAAGTGTTTCTTGGTTCCATCAACAAACAAATTATATTGGTTTAATCGTCGATGACAACTTAAAAATCAGCAATTTTATGAAATAACAGCTTTTAGGGTCGACAAATTAATTTTGGTTTAATCGGTCCACACAGCTCCCTGGATGAAAGCCCATAGATCAACCATCTGACTGGATCAGCCCAGGGCTTATCTTCGGCCCAAAGGTCTTGACACGTTTTGGTGGGAGCCACTTTTATTTGAGGAATTGGTTCCCTTCTTTGTCGCAACCCGACGAAAGTACCAAATCCTCATTGGAGACGTTTTCATTGATTACGTCACACACTGCCACCGAGCATAAGAAAGGTGGGTAAAGACGAAGGGTGGCGTTATCCGGTGGATTATTATTCGTTTCACGTTGCCTTGCAATGGAAAGTCTCACCTCACCTTGCGCGGCTGCATTACAGGCTGCCCTAAAAAGGGGCCCAGCCGCGGTCGGCACGTGCGCCATGCGCCTCAGCCGCAGGCGTTAAGACGTCCCAACTGATGGCTAGCGCGAGCGAACCTTCGAGTGTCCAGAACGATTCGGTGGTTGAACGGTGTTGACTTGCTAACTTACTTCCTCTATAAATGAACTCGTCGATCCTTCCCCGCTAACCTTTATCCGTTCCGACGACTCCTCTCCGGCATTTTCATCCTTGTCCTGCAGGAGTCTCCTCGTGTTAGGGATCCAAGTCTTCGTTCGCCATGACTCCAGAATAGTAAGCTCCTACGCTGCTCGATTTCCCCTCTTTTCCTTTGCCAAGACATCCTGCCCGCGATTAACTAGGGTTTGCTGTTCTTGATTCGGTCTGGATCATCTCTTCTCCCATTTCTTTATTTTGTTGGTATCCTAAATGATAATATGTTATAGCCGACTTTTCGCTCTTCACGGGCGAGCGAGTTCCGGATCCCTGTGTGGTTAGGTTCTCTCCTCCTTTTTGTATGCCGCACCAGATGGTGGCCAATATTTTTTTGATACTGCTAATGTTTAGGGTTAATCGGTTGGTTTTGTGATTTTGGGTAATTTTAATTGGGGGCGCGTGGGGTGAATATAGCACTACTTTCTCTGACTGAATGTTGTGATATGTGTAGATCCACTATCGACATGGAACGGGAGATTCTTATGATTCATTTCATATCTTTGTGGTAGTAAATAGATTAAAATATCTGTTTGTGTCCATTATAGCTATCTAGTACCGATTACTACCTCCTATTCTGCGTGATTGCAATCATCATATACAATTCCTGAGAGTTGAATTCACGTAATTGATTATAGCTTTTGTTGGAAAATAAAAAATGGAAACGGGTTAAACTATTGCGGAAGTCCTTACCCTAGCAATCAAGAACTTTCTGGAGTGAGATTGTTAGTTAAACATTCCATGATGTGTGTTCTATGAGTGAGCCTTCCAAATGAGTTACCGTCACATGGCATCTTGTTGTACCCTCAGATGGACCACTCTATAGTGTGTATGTGGTGTCTTCGATGTCTTCCTTATGAAGATGTTCTTAATGAAAAAACAAGGACTTCTGATGTGATTTAACAAACAAAAATTTGTAAGAATGTCATTCCTAAACATTAGCACTGACATCTAATACAGGATATTGAAGAAAGAAACTTGGCGTTTTAAACAAAACATTCGCTCTAGTTAGGTATATATTTAGCTGTTTTCTTGCACCTTGTTTATGAGTAGAGCCAAAAGACTCAAAGCTGCTGAGGTAGATTTATCATCTAGTCAAGAACTGGCAGCACATGGTAATTCAATGCTTTGAAACGGGAGATGAGAATAGGCAATAAACATTATTTGTTAGACATTTTTTGAATGATTTATTGCTCATAGACTTGCTGATTACATGATATGTCGGCATTGTTTTGCTTTCTTAGCTATCGGTGAACGTATTTATTAACATCATGTGCACTTATTGAGCTCTCACATTTTAGTTAATTGACAATATTTTAACTTTATAATTGCTTAGTTTATGAAGTATTAGTATAGCAAATTCGCCTTTGCCCATACGCCTATCATGCAAGAAAGACGAGATTGATTTGGTTTTTTTTGTATTAAGAAATGGAAACTTAGAACTTGAGCAACCTTGACCAATGTATATTTTGCAGTGACTATCTTTTCAAGCTTTTGCTTATTGGAGATTCAGGGGTTGGGAAGTCATGCCTTCTATTGAGATTTGCGGTGAAGACTCTCTCTCTCTCTCTCTCTCCCGGCCCTCGGTTCTTTCTCACTTGCTATAGTTTTATAATAATACTCTGTTATTGCTTTAAATTTTACATTTGAACCTTAGGAACATTATTACCATAGGAGCACTTACGAGCATGGGCTTAAACATCTTAGGATGAAGATAAAATGTGTTCACAGTATCACTTTGTGACTATGCGGTGCTTGGCAGTATTGAGTATTTAAACCTTTTGGCTGAGTTTCAAATTGATGGCCAATTGACAATCATACATGATGTAAAGTAACCATGGTTCTTATAGATTCTTAAGAATGTTAGCTCTTGGTGTATAATGTGCTACTTTGACTTCTGATTTTACTGCCTATTTATTTCTACTTTTTATTCATTTTTTGAGATCTATTATATGTTTTACTTTTCTTGCTGCAGGATGATTCCTATATAGAAAGTTACATCAGTACAATTGGTGTTGACTTTGTGAGTGCATTAATACTATACACTCTTTTTCCTCTCTCCTCCATTTATATCCTCGCCCATACCAAAACCTTACTTATATACCATTTAACAATTTGTTCCATCTTATTAGAAAATTCGAACAGTGGAGCAGGATGGGAAGACCATAAAACTTCAAATTGTAAGTAGGAGCTTTGTCAGTGTCTGGAAGTGTTTGAAGGACTTAGTCATGGCATTACCTCTTCTTTCTATTGTAGTGGGACACTGCTGGACAGGAACGCTTTAGGACAATCACGAGTAGCTACTACCGTGGTGCACATGGGATTATTGTGAGATCCCTCATCATTCTTGTTGTGACTTAAAATTCCATGGATGAGTATGCTGTTTTGGTTGATAGTCTGGCACATGACAGGTAGTTTATGATGTGACCGACCAAGAAAGTTTCAACAACGTCAAGCAATGGCTCAATGAGATTGACAGGTATGCCAGCGAAAATGTGAACAAGCTTCTGGTGGGAAACAAATGTGATCTGACGGATGGTAGAGTGGTATCTTATGAAACTGGCAAGGTAATTATTCCTACTAGTCAGTTTCGAGGATTAAGGTAGAATATATTGTATTCTGTAGACTGCAAATGAAGTGAAGTGAACTAGGGTGGTATTTGGCTTTGCTACTTGAAGGCATTTGCTGATGAGATTGGCATACCATTCCTGGAGACAAGTGCCAAGGATTCTACCAATGTAGAGAAAGCATTTATGACCATGGCTGCTGATATAAAAGACAGGTGAGCTTAATACTTGTCAACATCTGCATCGAAGAGTTCTTGGGCTTCTTTTTTTTAATGAGGTTTCATTGTTTGTTGTTAACCACTGGACTAGGAGATGATACTTATGCCAGTTCGATCCATTTTTTTTGTTTTTACCTTGGACAGAATGGCAAGCCAACCGGGTGGAAGTGCCAGCAAACCTACAACGGTACACATGCGGGGTCAACCAGTTGGCCAGAAGAGTAGCTGCTGCTCCTGAATATATGTAACATGAGGTTACACCTTTGTTCCTGACAAAGATGCCGTTATGCTGTTGAACGCTGGGGGCTGTTGATCGGACCGGCATGATTTTGTGTTGTTGGATTTTAAAGAAATCGGTGTGTCTTAATCGAACAAGATTGTTATACTCCACCCAGATGCCCTTTCAGTACTGGAGTTTAATGACACAACGGTTAGATAGACGCAAACATGGTCCTGGTCCTGGTACTGGAGGTGCCTTGTCTTATTATACACGTACATGTCTTCGTTAGCTTGCTGTGAGAGTTCACTACCTCTGTTGTTGGATTATTTCCTGTAACGTACGTGTCTAAGTTTGGATAATAAATAACTTTCATTGTTTATCCTTGATGTAAATTGTTATGCCTGAGTTGTTTTTTTCTTTGGCCTAAGTGCCAGAATGAGAGCATTCTGGCACTTAGGCCAAAGAAAAAAACAACTCAGGTAATATCGAGAAGAATAATATGGATATCCAAAATGAGAGCATATAAAGCAAACGGTTCCTGTAATTTCGTTCTGGATCACCCAACTTCTTGGACAGAGGTACCTTGATGATCAGAAAAACACAAAAAGGATGTAGCACACTTGAGGGGACCATATATCAAACAATAATCAATACAAAATAGGTTATATTACAAACAATATAGAGGCATTTTCATCTTAAAATTTTCTTCTTTTTTTTTTTTCTCAATGTTCCATCGTATCAAACCAGCTTGGGCTTTTATCCATGCAGATGTTTCTGCCATGTGCCAATCACCTGCCAGAAAAAAATGTTATATGGTTCATTTGTGAGAGCTTATTCAAAAGAGAAAAGAAAAACAAAATGTAGATCGATCGTGTGTGATTTCTCTTGAAGAGTCTTACTGCCGCCAGATAGCTTTGTAATATCCTTTCTACCCTTGGCGGGATTGGATTGTGATCATCGTACTGAATCCATTTTCCTGCGTCAAAAGGAGCTACACAAGGAACATAAAAAGAGCAAGCATAAAAGAACCTATGAGCTTATTAAGCACGCACCATTTTCTTGTTTCACCCAGAAGACATAGTCGGCACTCCTTCCCTCGTGAGTCAACACAGCGACCAAGTCATAAATTCCAGTTAACTGCACCTTTTCTTCAGAACACAACACAGTAAAGATGATCAAGCAATTCTGTGGCAAGCAATTAGCTCTCTCTTCATGAAACTTGAAAGTTGAATGATAACAGAGGGACTTCCCAATGTTTTATGGATACTACGCTTAATGAACTTAATAAAGCCATTTCAAATTTCATTTTCAGGAGTCGTTTGATGACTACAGATGAGCTTTATGAATCTACGTAAGCATTAATCATGCAGCGGCACATCCACAGTGCTCTGGTCTGGTGCCTGTACCATGTGAAGCCACACACAGCAGGCCTGCTCTTCTTCAAGCGGGAAGAGGATCCTTAGTGGAACCTTTATACAAGTTCTGAATTTGTGTTTGGCAATGTGGCAAAGATGGTACAATTGATGAAAACAATTAGCTCTATTTCTCTCTCTGTCAATGTAGTTCACATGCATGCATGCATATGGATGCAGAAACATTACCTCATAAAAATGTCAATAATCAAGTTATTAAACAACAATAGATGGCCAATGAAACGACAACTCAAAGTGTACATGAAAAGTTTTCAATCATGCATCAACAATGGGGTCACACAACTGACAAACGACATGGAATTATGATTCCCATATAACACGTTATATGATGTAATACATGACATATAACCCTTGAAGTTTAATGGTGTGAAATTCAGACACCATAATTTTGACTGATGAGAAGGTAAGATTAAAATACCAGACTAGAAATGCAGTTAGACCTCTATATGGTCCAAATAAATCCATTAAAGTAAGGTCCGACTCAGGTGCAGATCTGGCTTTGTTGATCTCATGAGGTTAGTGACTGCAAATTACGGTTGGACGATGATATGGGTATAATGACTGCAAAATAATGATCGTGGATGACTCATCACCGTGTGGTTGACACTCCATCACATGGTCGACACCTCACCACCATGTGGCTGACATGATGTCACCCTCCAGACGTTACGACCCACTCGCAATCGCATCATATTCTCTGGATTCGATGTATAACAATGGCACCCAACACCAGAGAAGACACATGGCCGTTTTCGACTTAAACCACAGCCTCAAGTGAAATTATCCTAAACCTCAATATAGAAGGGCTCCTTAGGCATGTTCTCCGAGCTGGTCTCTTTTTAGTATATTCAACCTTTACAAACTCAATGTCTAGCTAAAACCACTTATTCGAGTGCTAACTTAAGCTTCAAGAGCTTTGTTGAGCATGCCCGACACAGTTTCGTAGGGTTCAACGTAGCTCCAAATTAGACAATCACGAAACCTCTCAACCTAATACCACCTTCCGCTAAGATGAAAAGAGTAGGAGCTTGGTTGGTTCCAAATCAGCATTCCAATCGAACAACCAAAATCTGCTTTAACATATTAGCGCTTAAAGGAGGGCCCCTCCCAATATGTCCAAGGAAAATCATGTAGGTCCCTCTTGGGCAATAAGGAGGATCCAACTCTCCCCAATCTTACTTTAGGATCCATCGAAAACCCCACCTTCCCGATTTATACCTTCCATCGACTATTCCATAATGCGGCAATCAACCACCCATCAGTTACTCCACTCCCACCCAGTATCACAATTCTCATCGAAGCATTCATTAACCTAACCCAACAAGCTCAAGCTTTAACAAGGGTTGTTCAAGCTGACATTCCTTTCATCGCTCAGCTTACCCAGCTGGCATAGCAAGGATCAACTCATTTGGTCAGACATTCCTATCTCGACTCCTATTGCTAATCATAACTGATCCTGATCTTGCATATTTTAGCATCATTCAATTTGATGGTCAATTTTGGAAATCCAAAAGTCCAACACGAATTCTGATGAATCACAGCAACTGGATGATTCTTAGATTGATGATGATACGATTAAGACTCACTTAAGCTACTACTTGGTCTTCTTCTGGGAAATCCTCCATAAATACAGGACCTCTCTATGGAGCCTGCACTATCTCGTCTGCAGTGCCCATCATCAACAACTTCTGACCCTGTCAAATATCTAAAAAAACTTCATATTATGTATTCATAAGATATAAAAAGCATCAAAAATCAAGAAAAGAAAACCACCTCTTTGACACATAAAGTTGTCCAATCTGCATCATCCCGCGTGAAAGGAAAATGCTTCTTATAACTTCAGAACAAATTTATTAAAAAACCATATAACATGGAAGTTCATATACCTTCAGAAGAGCACCCTGGACCATAATTTTTTGCCTCTCAGGGGATACACCACTTGAAGCACACAACTGACTTTTAAATTCAAAGGGAGGTTGACTAGTGCCGATTTCCACGGCTGGAAAGATTTGTTTTTTCCATTTGACACTAACTGCACAACGATAAACACATAACTATTCCATATTATGCCAGCAGAAATTGTAAATTAGTAAACATAATGATCAGTTACCAAGAAAAACGAGGAAACACTTTAATTGGAAATGACATGATTTGCAGCATAAGAAAAAAGTATCCAAATAACTATTCACATAACCCAAAGAAAATTATTCATATAATGAAATCTCCAGTGGGCTTGGGAAGCTAAGAATTGCTTCTGGCTAGAGTATAACACTATAATTCTTTACCTGGGAGAAATGACAGATCGAACGCATTGGTCAAGAGAGGAAAATTGTGCTCACAGTTTTCTGCCTATCATGTTGCTTAGCTTTTCTTTTACTTATTTAGCAAGGTACGAATAAGATAAAATAAGTAAGCTAGTTCTTCCAATAATCCAAAATAATAATTATATTGATGGATGATAAACGCATTGACTACATCTAAGTACAACTTATGCATGTAACAGACTCTCAAATTCATGAGCTGAGAATCTTTTGACACAAGAAAAGAATGCCAAAGGAGTTTTCAGAAAAAAATGCAAATTAATCAAGATAATAGGGCACTCTAAAGAATTTAATCGAAACTATCTAAATCCCTGTGCTGTAAATGATTTTTTAAGGAATCCAAAATAGCACAGGTTTTTTTAGGACGTTGCAAATAGAACAGGGCATTTCGCTGTTGGAATAGCTGTGATTATCTTAAAGCTTTAGTAGCACAATGCAGAAGCTTCTGTTGGCAAAACAATAAGGACGCACGAAGGACCTGAGAGATATTGCAGCATAGTTTCAACACATGGAGAATTTCCAATGGAGTACAAGACGCATGGCAAGTGGAACATGAAAAACAAACAAAAGTCCCCGTGCCCTGACTAGGCAATCGAGACATATCATACAATGTGGCGTGGAAAACAGGCATTCAGAACCTTAAGCCATTCAACCTCTTTATCATGTACATCGTTATGAGCACAAAAATGATGATGTAACAAAGCGTACCGCATTCTTGGTAGGGCTCGCAACAGACTCTACAAGATTTGTTGGATTAGAATTCCTCAAACAACATTAGATGATTTCCGTTGAGATTACGTGCGTAAGCATGCAACAAGGGATGAACATTAAGATATAGTTCGCCCTGGTCCATAATCAAGAACGATCGCAGAGTTACCAACTTTTCATCGGGTGAATAGACGCGATTCAGGCTTCGGAGAAAAATATAATGATCAAATGATTAATTCCCACTTATTCTCGGCCCAGATTAAATCGACCGAATTGGGGGGAAAAAAAGGAAAGGAAACCCCTTGAGGCACATTTGTGAAACAAGAAAATTCTTGTAATTGTTACCGGAGATCAAATCCCTCGGCAATCATGGTGAATATAAGCGAGGAGCCAGTTGCTCTTACCGGTCGGCATGTTCGATGAATCGCAGCTCCTATCCTCGGATAACGCGGCGACGGAGGAATCGAAGCGAGAAGAGAGAAAGGGAGAGGGTTTCGTTGGGCGGCGAAATGAGGCCTTCCTTGACGACCGGCGGGCGATGGAGAGAAGAAAAGATTCCGCGATTCCCCAAGAAAGAGCGATATATAGGGCGACCTGATCGGCGACGGGTTACGGTGTGTGTCATCCCGCTCGGATCCGGGTCTATCTATTGGGACCGTTGATTTATACCGTTGACTTGGATCGTGCGGTGAGTATTAGTTCACGTTCTGGGCTTTAGCCTCTGTGTGGCTCATCCGAATATAATTTGAACTCATATGTGTCTACCATATAATATAATTTGAATTCAATTATTCGTGTCGCATATATGGCTTTCTATAAAGGATTAGATTAGTTTATGTGATAGAATATGTTGGATGACAATAGTCAGCAAACGATCATAAATAAAAAAATATTTACATATTTTTTAATCAATTACAAATATATTATTTTTAATGAAAATTATATTTTGTAGATACTTTAGTTTAGCACCACTCGATTATTATTTGACGATCGTAGTTGATCAAAACTAATAACCGAGTCCGGAGGCTCGCTCGAGAATTACGTTGCCTCACAGCAAATTGGTGCTAAGAATCTCTCGCCCATCTCACCTCTCCTCGGAATCCATCTCCTTCTTCGTCTCCCTAGTGATGCGGCTTTTCATCTAGGGTTTGATGCCGCCCTCGCCCTTGATGTGCTTTGGATGGACGAGCCCTTCCCCTTGCCTCCCCGCTCCCTGCTGATCGCCGCCGGAGCGACCGCCCTGTGCTGCATCTGGGCCCTTTGGGTCCGACGATCGACCGACGGAGGGGTCCTCCGGAGGCCCCGGAGGAAGAGGCGTTGCAGTTGCGCTTGCGTCTGCGGCGGCGCCGGCACTGGCGGTGGTGCGGATCGCGATTCCTTCGCCGGCGACGGGGGCACGGCGGTGGGGCATAAGAAGGCTACCGTGGCGGAGTGGCAGGCCGGGGGGTCTATGATGGAGCAGTTGGTGCCGGAGATTACCACTCATGCTCTCAGCTACCTCGATTACACCAGTCTTTGCCGCCTTTCGATGACCAACTCTGCGATGAGGAGGGCTGCAAATGACGATGGCGCCTGGAAAGCCCTCTACCACAAGGTTTCCGCTTCTCCTGCCTCTTCTTTTTTGCCTTTTTTTGGTTACGGACAGTTGCTCGGTTTTATACGTTGTGGTCCATCTGTTGATGGGCTCCTTAACTTGATCGATTGATTGGTGTTACTCCTTTGATTGACGCCGTTGACTTTTTATCGTTGGTTGAAAGGCATACTTTACATGCAAGAGGCACTTCGATGTTAGGAGTTGTTTGCCAATGTTATAGTCGTGCTATCTCAAAGTTCACTGTCGTGAAGTTTTGGCGGCCTTGCTCCTCTATGATTGGCTTTTTCTAACGATAATCTAATTGAAAAGAAACCTTTCTTTTTTCTTTTATAATAGCTGAACAAGGAAGGACTCATATCATTGATATAGTTAGTGAGACACCGGCCTGGGAAAAATCCTAGATCTCAAAAGATTTTACTTTCAAACGCCAGAGATTGCTAGTTGGTTGAGAATCTGGGAGTGCCATCTTATATTTTGATAGTTGAAATAGGAAAAGTTATGACTTTTTCTTCAGACAGGACACACTTGGGATGTTTCTCCACGGTAATTATCATGGGGACAAATATCTTTGGATGACCCTAATTTTGCAGAGAACCTAATTAGTGCAAATTTGATGTCTGTGACTGGAGAAGTTTTTGTTTATGTTTGGTATGCTCTCATCTACAATAGAGCTTAATCTGGTTTACAGGAGATGATTTCTTTGTGACCCGGACCAAGATTTCTAGCGCTAATGATATAGGGTTTTCAAAAGTAAACATAATGTTATTGCCTGTGGCCTTTTTAGCATGGTCAGTTGCATGGATGATCCTATTTGATTAACATTGTTCTCCTGATCTACACCCAATTTAATGCAGATGCTGGATTGTCTTCATCAGAAGAACAAAAAAATCTGACATGATAAACCAAGAATTTGGAACTCATTTCTTTCTTAGAAAACAAACTATTCATTTTGTGCGACCCAGTTGCATTTCTAAAGGGAGCCATGGATATCAAGAAATTTTTCTATCACTGCTATAAATCCTGATAACTGAATCCCACGACTCTGGCACATAACATACTCTGAAGCACAATGAAAGGTGATTTACCAACTCTAGCAAGCGCAAAGAACTGAATTGTATTGAAACAAAACCTAGATTTGTCCAAGTTGACTATACATGATTCAGTTTGTATGCTTCCTCCCTGTCTAATCATTCCCCTATCGCTGAATCTGAATCCAAGTTGACAAGTCTGGACCATGAAAGATAATATCCGTTTGTCAAACATATTGCTCCGCTCTCTCTCTCTCCCTTGATCTTTTCTGATTCGTATCTCTTGCTGACACTGGCCACTGTCTCGAGCCACCTGCAGCCTCACCATCTCCAATACTTCCCCTCCTCCTCTTTCATCCTTAATACTATTTTTCTATATAATTATAAAATCCAAACTCAAAGCACTTAAACACTCTCGTGTCATTGACCTAAAGACTCATACCTTGCTAAAGAGTTGATGTGTCAGAATTACTTTGTTTTTCCTCAATTTTGCAATATTATTTTCGGAGAGGTGGTTGGTCTACATGGACAGCTGAAACCAAGATGATACATGGATGATTCTCATTTTCATGAATAACTGCATCAAAGGATGCTATGATTGACTACATTTTAAACAATTAGGATTATGGGCTATGACGAATGTTTTCAAGGGTGTTTAATGAGATTGGAGGTTGTACTTTAGATAACCATGCGTGCCTATTTGCTTGATGTTGGATGTTACATGTTAACTCGATGCCAAAGCTTGCACCCAAACTGATTACACAAGTCACTTTTCACCATCATATATTGGTCCTTGTCTGTAGGTTTAAAAGTGAGCTATCCTCTAATCTGTTTTCATCATCTAACTGGAGCAGGATGTGGTTATAGTAATGTATATTTGTTGCATATCCATACTCTGTTCTAAGAAATATGTGCATGGGTCTCCTCTTATCAGTTTCTGGGGTCTAAGTTTCCAAATTTCCAAATAACAGGACATGGTCAAAATTATTAATGTTGACTTAGTAAGTAATTTACTTTTATTATGATCTCTCCTCGTTCTGGCTTTTCTTTTCGCCTTCACCGAAGAGTCCTCTCTAAGAATAGTTACTGTTAAAGGAGTTATTTTATGAATTAACAAGTTCAGATGCTTCTCATCATATCTTGTGTTTGTAAGGCATATCTCGACAAATAGTTTTAGACATGCTTTTTAATTCACTTGCATCTGATGCACTTCCATGATTGTTCGTCTTAGAACTTTGTGTATATCATCCTATTTGTATAGATATTATGTATGACAAACATGGCTCTCTTTTTTTTCTCATTTTGTATCCCAACAGTTCTGGGTACTGGGTAGTGCTATGTTCATGTTAATATCCATAAAATTTCTAGTTTCTTCCTTACTGCGGTGCATCTCTATTCTTATCTGTTAGACGGTTTACATATCCTCACTAAGTTGATGGCAAATTTGAGCAGTCACTTGTGTTGGTTTAAATTGGATGGACCACACAACTATGAAAGACTTCTTATGCTTTGTGTCTAGCATTTGGATGCTGCTGGCATCTAATGACTATTTGTTATATATGTTAATAATGTTTTTTCCTTGTAGGACTTCACAGTGGAACAGGACACTGTTAATCCAAGCAATGGATGGAAGGCTTACTATGCAGCCACAAAAGCCATTATCAATATTAATGCAGAATTCTATAATATAATCAGAGAGAGGTCACTTCCAGCAATGAGTCGTTTATGGCTTAACGCTGACTATGTGAAATGTATGCATGGATCCGGGGAGCTATTCACAGGGTATGGCCTAAACCTTAATTTCGTTGAATCCGTTATACTAGAAAAAAAACCTCGTGATGAAATCGGAATAAACACAGTTTTGCATTCTTGAATTTTATTCTACCTCAGAGAATGTTTTCCGTCTTATTTTCTTCTGGAGATGTCTTTGTAAAACCTACGTACAAATCTCTTACCCGATGAATATGCTATACATATCTCTTTGATGTAATTTAATTTTCATTTCAATTGTTGCTAAACAATAACCAGTCGCTTGCTTGCAACCTGGATGACCAGGTTTTGGGCAACGGTATAACCTCTTTGGGTAAGAGTGCATGCAATGGTTTTCTGAGACATTGTGTTGATGGGAGTCTCGCCCATCGGGTTATCTTTTTCTATATCTAATTAAAGAATAGATTGACTTTTACAAGAAATACCACTTAAAGCTAAGAGTTTGGCTTGTTTGAGGTGCTCCTTTTTCAACCTACACATTTCTTAATGTTGTTTACAGTTTGTGGTTTAGTGATACAGGTGGTGGTGGTTCTTTCTTGGCAGGTACGGTGCGGTAATTGACAGCTGGGCATTGGCATTGAACTGGGGCCAAGGCGGTGGTCAAGAGATTGATCTCCAGATACGGGATGTGCGAGCTCGTATTCTGGATGGCATGGCTTGGGTCACCATGACCACGTATATTGGTGTGGACTTGGAGGCATATTACGTAACGAATATCTATGAGTTCCATGATGGGCGATGGTACATGGTTCACCACCAGAGCTCGATGATGTTAGGTTGAAGAAGCCGAGAAAAGGGTGATTGTCGATATGATGTTCTCTATGCATGCGTTTCATTTACAATAGACATTAAAAAAAAAAAAGAAGGAACTCCCGAATCGATCAGTTCTGGTGTGGATAGTTCAGTACAGATGCCGGAAAAGATGAACGGTACATTCATCTGTGCTGTTGGTGTCTACTTAGTCACAGAAGCTGGCTTTGGTACCATGCTCACCATCTCCTCAGTTTCTTTTTTTTTTTTCCTTTTACAACTTGCATAGGAAATGGAAACTTGCACAAGAAACTTACAGATCAAGCTGATGACTAGAAATAGAAATAACTCCTTAATTTGATCAGTTCTGGTGTGGATAGGTAGAGTTGAGAGAGCTGAGAAGATGCAAGGTCGAATTATATTGACTTGTATGGATGAAAATGGTTTTTTCTTTTTATATATATATGTTGTTGTAATGTTGGTGGTATGTCAGTCCTGCAAGTGTTGCTGCGGTAGGAAGCACCTGTTGTTTTCCAGCTGGAATTTGATTCGTTGATGCTGGCAATGCAAGAAGATGGTATAAGCTTGTTTGTTGTCTGGATCAGATGGTATTACGTTTACCTTTAAAAAGAGTGATGCGACGTTGGCCCAATAAGGGTTGAAAAAATCCGGATCCGATATGGTGATTCGGGTTTCCACCCAAAAATTAAATATTATATTTAGAGAAATTAATAAGAATATAAAATAATGAGTAATTAAAATAAAAAAAAATAAATACTAGCATCGATCGATGTCTCGATTAATTTAAAAATTATTAACTTATGTCTTGTAGCACGCAGCTCGTTCCCCGTTTCGCGTGCTGAATCGTATCTTGAGTCGACAACAGCATGGAGCGGCAGAGTTTTGACCGTGTCAGTGGGATCAGGTGGGCCCACGCGGACAAAGAAACCATATGGTTTCTGCCGTGTGGGGGCCGTGAAGTGGACGGCGCTTCCCCCCCGTGTGGGCCCTCCTCCATCCTTCTTCGACGAAGGAAACGGCTTCCGTGCGATCGACGGAAGGTCGCCTTCCACGACGCACTACTGACCTCTTACGTCTAACCGTTCTTCAAATCCTGTCCCCCTTCTCGACGCTAACATATACGGAATCCGATCTAAGCTCCTCCGTCTGGGATCAGAATGCTGTCGTCGCCTTCTTCTACGTACGTAACCCTGTGATTTCTAGGGAAACGCCGCCCGCTACATTGCCAAGGGAGTTCGAACACGAGCGCAAAAAGCAGAACTTGTTTAGTTGAGCTTGACGAGAAGGATAGAACGGTACAACTATTACAGGCTAATCTGACGACGGTGGGAACTAATGATTCTCCTCACTCGTCTGCATGCATGCTAACATGGAAAGACTTCCTCACAGTGACTCATCCGATCCGCTGCTCTCCTGCACTTGGGATGCTTCTGTGTCGCCGCCCCCGCCGTGCTCGCAGCATATGCCCTCATCCTCTCGATCATGGCCTCCGTGTTGGCCTGCTCCGACAATATCTCCGCCAGCTGCTCCGAGCTGATCGCCACCCTCACCCTCCAAACACCCTTCTCCGGCGAACGCAACACCTCCAAGTTCTTGAAAGCTGCTGCCCCCTCGTAACTCATCGGTCCACCTGCGCTCCCACCGGGTCTGCATGCGGCGGAGGGTGGCGCAGAAGCCATGACGTCCTCGACTCTTCGGGGGGCCTCCGGCTTCACTTCTTTGATGGTTTCGGGGTCTACACGGACGCAACCATGAGCTTCACCAATTTTTGCGCAGCCATCACGAGCAGCTCCTACCGCAGAGCAACTCACGGTGCAGTTCCCCATCGGCGCTCCGTCTCCTCCAACAATGGCGTCCGCCGGTATTTAAGAGGGCGGATCACAGAGCTGGCATTCCTCCGGGAAGAAGAAGAAGAAGACAAAACGCTGCAAATAATTCTCGATGACCTTTTTCCTGAATTCCAAACCTACGGGGCACGCTGTGACCCGACAGAGGGTTTAAGCAACACGGAGTCGACGTGCGTCGTGTGTGACGGGTGAAATCTGTGGGTACAAGGGACTGAAAAGTGTGTGTCCTCCCTCGGTGGGCAATCCAACAACATGACAAGTTTTGTGGGACGAGTAACCATGTGGTGCGCAGGAATGCCAGTCTGCCATGGATGTCTTCGCAGCATCGGAACAGCCTGCTAAAATGAGCGGAGGATGAGGCACTCTCTGGTCCACACACGCACACAGCATCATTAATTGGGAGAAGGCAAACGAGGAACAAGTCAGAGTGGCAATAACCACAGAGCTCATCAAATCAGAAGAGTTGCTGATTCACAAGTTACGTACTTCCACAGCATACGATGCAATCGGATACCATCGACCGACGCTTCCATGAATTGTCGCCTTGGTTTTGGATGACAATGCACCGATGTTTATTTATGATTTGGTATTTATGCTTCGTACAGACGGTGAATTTTTGATTGAGTATGTGTTCGATTCCCTCAGGATAATGGAGACGGATTAGAAAAGACAAAAAGGATTGAATCGAATTGAATTGCAAATGGAAGTAGAAAAGGACTTCCTTCCGTTTAGAAACGAAAGTGGAGATCGACAAGAAAGCTTTCGCGTGGATTAAAAGATTTGGTTTGCTGCAGGAAGAGGATTGGCCCGACTCGTTTATTCTCACTCCGTAGCGAGTGGACGACATGACAGTGTCCATCATCTTCCCCGGCATATAAAAATTGATCCTTCTTCGCTCAGCAAAGCACAGAAAGAAAAATAATGCCAAGCAAGTGATAGATAGTGCAGAAAAGAACAATCTGCTGATTAGGTACAGCAACCTTTAGAGATCAGATTATGGATCAGCTTCTTTATTTACTCTTTCTCCCACCGATGGAGGCAAGAGTAGGTATCAGATAGTGAACCTCAACCGAATGAATTTATCTCTCTGTTTGTCGTCAGTCACCATCCTGCGTTGCAGATGAGAGATACTCGAATCGAATCGTGTAAAAGCATAGTGCGTGACAAGCCATTTATTATTCTCAACATCTAACGAGTGATGATCTGCATGCACTATCAGTCTATCTATCTATCTATCTATCTATCGATCTGTCTGAAAGAAGGATCGGTGGCTCCTGCTATACATACCGGAGCACCGCACACAAGTATAAAACCCGAGTTTATTATCGTAACACACACGGTATTCTCTCGAGAACATCACCCGGACGGACACCTTATTTTGGACTGCTAATGGAAGACATATATCGGTCGTCTTCTCATCACACCTTCCTCAAGCGTTGTCGTTCTCGGCAAAGATATCAAGGAGCTTCAGTGCCTGAAGAGAGAAAAAAAAAAATTGCTGTGTGAGCATAGACTTAATGTCTCATCGACCATAACGTGAGATCAGGGATGACGATTCATGTACCTCCTCCACGTTCAATTCCAATCGGAACTTGGGGCCATCGTAGTGGTGGAGTATGGGCCTGAAAGCGTCCTCCTCCAGGGGGTCATAGATCCTCCTCGTCACCACTCTCACCTAGTCAAAGAAGAACAGCAGCGTAAGTGACAGGACGTGCTATTATTAACTCTAAACCAAGCAGAGTCTTGGGTGGTTGCACGTCTGCGTCCAAAGATGATGAACAGAGCAGCTGCTCCGCCCCACTGTCTTGGCCCCGAGATGGGGGTAATGTTAAATGCAAAGCCAACCGATCATGCCTCACGGTCGGCATCAGACTCGATCGTCGATGCAATTGTTTCTGGTGGTTGCAGATTCCCAAATTCATAGAATAATCATCTTCATTTTTCTTAGTTTTCGGCGATGAATGCAAATGCTTGGTATTATAACATTCGATTCGGTGTGTCACGGTCACAGTCGGGCCTTCAAACGCAACTCCGAGACACCACCCCCAAGTAGAGAGGTGTTTGAAGGACAAGAATACTACTGTTCCGGTGATTAGTATGGTTGAGGTCAGCAGATTTCGAAGACAGATAGATGATGCGATAATTGAACCAAAGATGGTGTTGGGAACGAGAATAGCTTTGGAGTTTCCGGATTGATTATTCCGTCCTAAATAAAGAGGCAACCATGGCATGAAAAGAAGAAGAAGAAGAAGAAGATGAAGATGAAGAGAAGAAGAGGACACCTGAGCGGGGAAACGGGACTCGCCGGGGCATTTCTTGTCCTCCCAAGCTGTGGGATCGATGTTGGTTCCTCCAAAACTCGCCGCCTGCACAACCGAAACGTATCCACGTATCATTCTCAAGAATCTAAGGCAAACTTAAATCATACTAAACTTGGCACCTCAAAGATCCCGTAGAGCTGATGGGTTGAGTAGTTGTAGAGGAAAAGCGGCAACCCCGGTTTGATTGCTCGGACCGAATCCCTGTATCTCGATGGCAGACCTGACAATCACAAGCGCTCGGAATTACAAGTTGTCGTCGGAAACTAATCTTTTAACGTCGACACGCTCTCCATAGGAAAGCAGAGCGGTAAGGCGAATACCAAAGAGCTGCCTGGTGAGATTCTCCGGCATGGTTTCGTTGTTGCAGACGAAGATATAACCACCGATGGCCTCGTTCCTCGGCAGCGCTTCCCCCGGCGGCAGCGTCTTGAATCTCTTGTCCACGGCCCCACCTCTGTCGTTGTTGTTGTTGCTGTTGTTGTGATTGTTGTTGCTGTTGTTGGTGTTCTTCTTCTTCTTCCCCAGGTTGCCATCGTTGCTAACGTTGATGTTGCTCTTCTTGCTACCGCCGGGGCCAAAATTGGCCGGCTTGCCGATAGCTTTGTTGAAGTAGTTCTTGGTCTCCCCGCCGCCGTATTTGTAATCGATGTTGTTGCCGGTGAAGTAATTCCCGTTCTTGGCGACGCCGTCGTTAGTGTGCTTGCCGTTGTCGTCGACGGCGTTGTAGCGGTTGAGTTGGCTGTTGTAGTTGTTGTTGTTGTAGGTACCGAAGGCGAGCTTGTGATTAGTGTATGTCATCTTCCAGGGGTTGGGGTTGAAGTCGGCCGAAAGGGGGGCTGAGCTGTCGAGGTTGCGGCGCTCGTCGGTGCGCCGGACGTCGAAGGAGTCGCTCCATATGCTGTCGCCGAGTGAGAGGTTGGAGAAGGTGGAGGTGTGCAGCCGGAGCTGGTCGCTGAACTGCCAGAACGAGGTGTTGTCCCTGCTGCTGCTGCTGCCGATGCCGTGGCCCTCCATGTGTTTGTGCGTTGGACGCGACGGTCGTCGGGAAGACGAGCGCGAGGTGCATTAATATGGGCGTGCGAGAGAGAAGACAAAGGTTAGAGGAGGAGGAGGAGGGGAAGGGAGCGGAGGAAGCTTCGTGGAAGTGGGGGAGAGGGAAAGCGTGTGAAGATGTGAAAGGAGAAGCAAAAGGAGTCGGCGTTTTCTGGAACGGAAGACGAAGTGGCGGATGAGCGACCGAGTTGAAAGGGAAATGTTGGGTGAGAAGGGAGAGAGAGTCACCCATTCCTTTTTTCCGATCTATTCACGAATTTTAATGTATTTTAATTAATTCAGGATGAAAATGTATTCCTTAAATGCATAAATATTGAGAAGGGAAGTCACTATTCCTTAAACATATTATATATAATTATATATATGTATTAAAAAAATAGAATAAAGAAGATCAAATATATATTCAATTTTCATAAGATCTTGTCGACTTTTATTTATTTAGAAAGTCCAATAACGTGTACATAAAAATAATTATAGGTAATTATAAGTGGCCAGTAAAATACATTTTGAAAAATAGCAATGTATTTGGTGAGAGGACCAAATAAATGTTAAACTCTTAATTATTTTAACCCCCGCCCAAAATAATAAAAATAAAAAAAGAAAAGAAAAGAAAAGAAAGGGGGTAGCGTGTGGCTTAAGGTTAAGCAACGTCAGGACTTCTAGAAGGTTCTAGAGATTTGAGGTATGATTTATTGTGCTGCATTATTATACCTAACCAACCATCCCCTATTGCTAGATAAGTCTATGGTTGAATTGTATACTGTTTTTACTTTCTTTTCCTCGATAGAAAAAATTCGGAACAAATCAATGTTGAGAATTTAAAAAAAGTATTTTGCTAATCGTGTATGTGGTTCCAACATTGAGAAGAACCACTTGAAGCTTGTAACGTCATCAAAAAGACAAGATGTGCATAGAATTTATTTATTTATTTTTTTGTTTTAACTCTAAACATTACTCCTCTGTGGTTAAAACAATTCTTATCATAATATTTATTGTTGTTGTTGTTGTTGTTGTTGTTGTTGTTGTTGTTGTTAAAACAATGAAGGAAACAACGCGATGATTGATTGTATTGGAGGAGTTGGCAAAAAAAAAAAGAAGACGAGAGAGGCATAGTAGTAGATAGTTTAGGGGAGTCAAAAAGAAGTCAGTAGCAACACACGTGTTTCCTTCCATGTAGTAGTAGTACAAGAGACCATCATCACCATCTTTCTTGCGAGAGTTCAAAACAAAAAAAGTAGCATTCATTCACAATATAAATGAATGGGTTGGTTGCTAAGTTGGATGGATGTGCGCTTTCGGTGGCGGTGACACAAAAATCCTTTTCACGGTGGGTGGGAAGAGGTCGGCATGCAATTAAAATAACTTTCATTCAGCCAATCCAACTAACTAAATCTTTTAATGGCGCAACCTCTTTGCCTGCATCAACATACTCTTCTTTAATTAGTATTATTATTATTATTATTATTATTATTATTATTATTTATTAATCAATCATAATCATTATTAATCAATCATCATTAATCAACATCAATCTAGATCGGTGGTACGCCAACTTCATTCATGACTCGAGGGGGGGAGGCCAAAAGATGTGATGAGGATATTGAAGTTGCATAATCATACCACATTACTAACCTTTTTGTGAGAGGACAAAACGAAAGAGTCGGTGGCATTATTGGCATCCCATTGAATTAAGTCTTCGTAACCCCGCGTAATCAGCTGCTTGCCATCCATCCATCCATCATTCACTTGTCCAACTGCTTCTGCACAATCACCAGCCCCTGAATGGACATTACAGAATGCGACCCTGAATGGATGGACGCAAGAAAACATGCCCCAAGCAGCATTATTATATCAACATAAAATTGAAATCTATGGTACACATCGCCAGATAGACCCATCTTTTTTTTTTTCTTTTTACTTCGTTCGTTTCGAGCTTTCCACCACCCTGCCTGTGCATAATAAATGCCCCTACTGCATTTCGGTCTCAAGATATCATATGTACATCAGAAACCTTATATACATCAAAACATCAATCACCCCTTCCCCCCCACACCATGGGAGCCAAGCTTTCGCATTAGCCCATGGAACATGGGATGGGCCTAATATCCACATCCAGGAGAGATGCATTCCAAACTGCAGAAAATTCTATAAAGCAGGAGGAAACAACCATCCGATGGTCCAGCCGAAGAGCAACCCCATGCCAGCCAGACCCAATCCAAGAGATAATGCAACTGCATATTTGCATATTTCACATTTGTGCTTTTTCCTCCTCCTCCTTGTTATCTTACCTTCGCTGGATAACTTCCCCTTGGGTGCTATCCAAGGCAGCACAGGGATAACCGTCGATATCTGGTGCTCCTTTATCCTGAGCTGGAGAAACAGGTTCTCAAGCTGCAACATTAGTAGCCACTGCTTGTATGCAAATAGATGAGAAGCCTGTCTCAACAATAGCTTGACTATATGTTCCCTCTCATCGTAAGCTTTCTGGGCTGCCATTTCAGCTTTCCTAGCACGGGTCTGGGAATGGCAAAGTGCCTCCAACAGCTGAGCTCTTGAAAGGTCATCCTCACATGTCTGGTTACGTTCAGGTTGTTCATTTTTCACATAACCTCGACCGTCACTGCATAACATTAGAAATATATTCAGAAAGCACAGCATTTATATGAAGGACTCCCTTCTACGAGACATATTTCTACTGCCGAGAAATAAAGAAATGTTCGTAGAGGAAAAAGAGTAGAAAGAACATGCCATCTTAGAAGAGACTGTCAACATTTTCAAGGTCATATACTGAAAAAGGCATGTCCTAATGGGCATAAACGCTAGAAGAACAAGCTGACAAAGATACACAATCAAGTTAAAAGGCTGATGGGATGGGATACTATGTAAAATAAACGTTCGAGTTTGCCATAGACAGGCCAATTCATTTGACGACCTCTGCATGGCTTTGGAGGCTCAAAATTATAAATATATGTAATGATTCTTACTATTAACAACTAATAAATGCTAGCAATATAACATGGATCCGCTGATCAATTACCGCTCTATTACTCTACATCGACAAATATTCTAATCAATCTTGGCATGAAAAAGTTAATCAATCAAATAATTTTATCAATACGAGTTTTTCCTCGATGATACGTCGCATAAATTTAGCATTGTGGTATCGCTTGTATGTCATGTTTTAATCAGCCTTACCGTCCACCATGATCGAGCAAAAAAGAATATTGGCCCAGCGGAAAAGAAGCATATTACGTGACATGGATCAGTAAAACAGAATCCATAATCAGTTTTGTATGTGAAATTGGAGAATATAAAACATTATTAAATGGAAGCAATATTGACATTGACAACTCTTTTTACACCATTCATCAATAAGCAGAAGAACAAGAGTGCATTAGTTAACGACAAAACACATTCCTTGGTTCATGTCGATACGTTGACGATAAGAACAAGTCATTATTCCCAATATTTCATGTTCGGCTTCCCCTTCTCATTTTATAATGGATTGAAGCTATTAATAGCTTTTCTTCTGTCTCTTGTCAATTGATGTTGCACTTCATGTTTAAATCCTATAACTTGGTGACAGTCACTATTTATTTTATCATTATTTTTGAGTGATATTGGGTGGTGCAGACTGGAATGCTTTGCTTCATATAATCATCATGATTCTGCTTATTCTGCAAAAAACTTTTTTTTCTAAAGATAATCCCCCTGACTCTGAATTTTAGTTTATCCAGACTCGTCTTTCCTTGGTCTTCACTAGCAAGTGATATATGCTACAGAATTTTTATTTGGGACAGGTGAACTCATTAATATAGAGTGCAAATAGATAAGGATCTAAGGCCAACCGTTAATGCAACTATATAATAGCTGGTAACTAAATTCAGGGTCAATGCAAATAGAAACACAACACCATGTAGTCACACAAATATTTCACTGAAATGAAAAACAGAGCACAAACTAAATAGAGCCTTGCCTGTATGGTTTCTCTGAATCATGCAGCATATAGCCTCTTTCACTCGAAGACAAGTTCTTGTTGTCAGATTTCACAGAAGTAGATGTGTTACATGAGTATTTGTTGCCGTTGCATATGTCTGCATTTAGCTTTGTACCCAGAGATGATTGAAATATTCCACTAGTATCCGAATTCTCAGGAGGAGAAAGTGGGTCCCTAGTTACATGAACTGTTTGGCTGGGCTTAGGCAGATCACAGTTTTCAATATGGTGCAGTGATTTTTGGGCTACCAGCAGAGCCAACTCATCTTTGTCTGCAATACGCCACCATGGCTCAGAATTATTACCCCCAGCCCATGATGTTTCAAAGTACGAAGAGGCTTTCTCTGGCCTGCACGAAGTAAATTGATCAACGGGCTTCAAATCCAGAAGCCCATCCTTTTTATCAAGATAATTCACCATAGACGTTTTCGGCTTTAGCAGCTGTTGTGAATAGCTGGTTGTTGTCTTCATCTCTTTGATCCTGGTTTCAGAACCATGTTTCTCGAAAGCTGTTGATACCACCCAAGAAGATTCCATAAAACACACCTCCTTTTTAAGGACAAAGTCAACTGGCAAAGACTCCCCACCCAGCTTCGATTTTGGGACTGCAGTTTCCATGTTCTCGTCAGCCTCATCTTCTAAGGAGCTTAGCTGCTCACAAATAAGCTCATTCTGGTATCCAAAGTTGGGTTGCAGCTGAAGCCACCATTTTGTTTCAGGTGATAGATAGGCATTCGTGAGATTCCTGCTAAAAGGCATGAAGTTAGGGCCAGGGGAATCTTGTGCACTTGCTGTGTTCCCATTGCTTGAATCACTTTGTGGGGTAGATGAAGAACAGCAAGCTAATTTTGGAGCTCTTTTTGCATCTTCCTGGACTAGATAACGGTTTGCAGTGCGCTGCCAAGCAGCTCTGGCTTCCGCAGCTGCCATTAGTGGCTCATTTCCTCAAGACTATTTGTTATAAATGTTTATCTGCCGAATACAAGTCAGAGTTCCTCAAAATCAAGACTATCAGAAGAAGCAACTAAAATTTTCCATGTCATGGTTCACAGCATACCAAATGTTAAAAGCATTAAGCAAGCAGGGACAGTTCAGACAGACAAAGAACTTTACAAGTTGTAGTGCTCAAGACCACCAAATATAAGATACATCTATAACCTCCTCAAACTACACATACAAAGGATAAGCATCATCAACTATGAAATGATACATAGGGTTCCTGATTTAATTTCATTATGTCAATCTTTCAGACATACAACAAGAAGTTATTATGACATCCCGGTTTAGTCCCACATAAAAAATGGTATAAAATATAAATCTTTGATGAACTTACAAGGACTAGACGAGTTGAGTCTACCACCAACTGCTTGGACTTAAGTATTTTGGGCTAATGGTTTAGGCTCAACAAGTTGATGAGTCAGTTTTGAATCGGCCCTATAAAAGTATAACCCAGCGCTAGTGAATTGTAAGTGAGATGGATCCTGTCAGAGGTAACGAGAGCAATGATGCTTCAGCTTGTAAGGTTGGTCGTAGATATAAGCCAAATGCTCCATGTACTCCAAGGGTTCCCCGAGCAAACCAAAACATCGAGCCTCTTCCGATGCTTCATAATGTGCAAGAGCAGACTTGGTCCTCTGCTCTACCTGGAGAAGACTTTGTACAAGCTTCAGAAACCTCACTGAATCTACCAGGTAGTCCTGAAGCTTTGGATGCTCCTTGTTCACGGAGTTAAAGGCTTGGTCCGTCGGGTTCTGATAATCTGAGGACTGAAGGAGAAAGGACATAGAATCTGAGGTTGGGATCATGTCTTCTTGAAGGGTATCTTCGACAAGAGGTGTTATCAGATTCGGACAGAATGATGTTAATTCTCAGATATATAGGTCCACTTGAAAACATACAAAAGATCGGATGCTTATAAACTGCCTTGTTCCCGGCGCTTGGAAACATAATGTGTTTCACGTGTCATTGCTTCAAAGGTACATTGTGGATCCATCCTAGATCTTATGATACCAACCTCTACAATTGCAAGAAGATACTGCTTATGAAGCAGTCGATCGATTTTTAAAGTACTACATATAGTAAAAATGCCCTAGCAACACCATACAAAAAAAGAAGTTGTATGGGAAAGAGAAGAGGATGTTAAAAAATGCATCAACATCTTTTACTTTAAGGTAAGTCGAATCTGAAACCAAATTCCAAGAGGGGGAGAAATGTAATCATCTTTATTTTCTTAAATTGAAAGATAATAATGGTGCCCACTTCATTACCATTATTTTCTGATCTTTCATGCATTTATAAGGAACATATTTCAGCTTTTAGTATATATATTTCCTACTCTTGAATACCTTAATAAGGAATTATCTATTTTATCTTAATTAAGAATAAAAACTAAAATGGAAATGAACCTCCCTACCTCATTGGATATCCGTCCTCATCACTTTTTTCTTTTATATTGAAATTTTAAAATAAATAATCATCATAATTTTATAAAATATTAAACAAGTCAAGTTCATGAACTAGACCAAGTGTCCGTTTTCTGATTGGTCTGTTCCAAATAGCTCGCACCTATTCCCCCTTTGAAATGGAAAAAACATACACAACCACTTTCATGACTCACCGTCACTAAAACTATGTGATCCATTATGTCATGCCTCAATCCACCAAAGGAAGATATTTCCAATTGTTGGACCTTCTAGCAAAACCCCATTAAAGAAACAATTGCCAAGTCTAAAAGAATATAAAGAAGAACACCCCCGTGGCCTACCCAAACCAATTCTGATATCGCAAGAAAAAAAAGAAAAATAGGAACTACAAAAAACTGATATAAAACTGTACTGCATTGAAGTAACATTTTTCATTGATAAACCATTTTCCATTATAAATCTGTTAAGGGCAGAAATTGAAGAATAGATCAATAAAAACAGCAAAATGAATGGCTATGTTTTAAGAAATTATCAGCATATCTCCTTTTCAAAACAGGCCAAGTACAATGGAAAGAACAGTAGGAATCAAGGTATGAAGTTCATAATATAACAACGATCACTATAAGCTTCCATGTCATCTAGATCTTACTAATGAGTTCACAAGTAATCTAGACCAGTAATAGCATATAATGATCGACACTAAGACACAGCACAAGGAACTTTTTGTGGTATGTTAAGATGAAATTAAGCACCATTGAAAGCACTCAAATTTATTTTTTATTGCTAGTCAAGTAAAGGAATTAAGATCAAGATACAATACACATCATTAAATAACTTGAATCTGCAAATTTCTTCTAGGCAACTCTTCATTTAGTGAATCAGCGAAACAATGACAGTAGCAAGGTGACAAATATGGTCACAGAACTTTAGAAGATTGTAATCATCAGACTCACCATGTATGTAAATCTATATATAAACCATAAATTAGAAGAAGGAAAGATCATTTTGTTTTTCTTTTAAACTTTTGCCTCTTGGAGGGCAAATGAACAATCATCATTGAGTCATCAACAACATAATCCGACCTTTTTCAAATTAAAAACGGTGTCACAGAGACCACTTCACGATGACTAAAAAAAAGGCTCCCTAGAAGTCTTCATAGGGCTTGACATTGGGTTGTTAAACTTACATGAAACAACAAAAGTTGATGTCAGATTCCTAAAGGCTGAATCAACCTACCCATACGATAAGGGGTTTCACAGAAAACATAAAAGGTGCATCGAAGGATGATACCAGTGTTGGGGGGCAAAAAATGAGACACTTGGATGATTTCGGATAGCACTCTGTGGAGCTAAAGCACAAGCTCAAATTACCAATAGGTTATGGATGATGACGATAGCTAATCTCTCATTCCAAAAAGTCTTTATCCATATTTTCATGAGATTAAACATCCTTCTAGTAGATAATCACCAATAGAAAGCTAGATTCAGGTCTCATATATGGAAGCTCTTGGAGCTTTCATCATACAAATGACGACCAAATATTATAGCACGATGCAACAAGTAAGCCGGGTGAAAAGTCTCATACCTACCATCATTTCCTGATTATCTACGAGGCTAAAATCCGGGGAGAATCAGTCACAGAACAGAATAAAACTCGCACATGGTCCGATAACCCTTTAAATTGAGCAACCTAAACTGAAAAGACCTAAAGAAACATAAAATTTCGAACGAGAAAAAATTATCCATTGCCAGATTCAGTATACGGAAATCCTAATTTAGTTAACTTCAACAAGCACAACTGACGACGCTTCACCCAAGAAAAGCAAAGAAAAGCACCAAAAACAGGCATCCAGATATTTCACGTATCATCGACATCATCGGCGAGATCAAAACAAGAAGATCAGAAGCTAACCAATCATGACTAGCGATACCCCTACAGTCACAAGAAAACCACCATCAACACAAATCAGAACCTATCATGACAACCGTCAGCACTACAGCTCAAGAAAAGTACCAGGCAAGCAGGAAATCAAGAGAAAAGAATCGCCGCAAGGAGAAGGTACCGGAACCTGATCAGAAGACCAAACACCGGAATCCAATAATCAGGGATCGGGGACGAGGAGCCGTACTAGGGGATCTGCAGTAGCACGGGAACACGGAAATCAAAATCCAGAATTCAGCCGACTCTCATCGCTGGACGACGATACATAATCGATTGTGACGCAGAGGACGGAACATGCCGATGAAAAAGTCGGGATCGAGACAGGTTGCTACCGCTCTCTCGCTCTCTCTATCTCTCTCGTTTATCTCTACTTCAATGCCCGAAATATATTTTTTTTTCACTGGCCGAAGCTAAACCTCCAAACTAACGGGCCGTAACGACCAATTCCCCGCCCCCGTTATTTTACACGACCCATCTCTTTTATCCTCTGCTTCCCCCCTTGTGGGCCCCGCCAAGTGGGTCGTGTTGCGGGAACCACCCCCGGTAGAGGAGAAGGATTGCTCACCACCTTTTATACGCTTGAGAAGTATGTATTACGAAGAATGCAGGAATACTTTTTCCTACCAACTTATTAGTCACCACCGTGGTGGGAACCAGAGCGATCACCGAGTGGGACAGGATCCCGGCGCACCATGCGGGTGTGACATGATGGATCACAGGGATCGTCCACGCGAGAGATGCTCGGTGGCGATTGGATCGATAGATGGCGACGGCGACGACGACGACGGCTTCACTTAGTCGAGCCTTCCCGAGTGATACGGATGATAACGGGGCCAAGCCCAGTTGCTCCATCGACATCACACCATGGAGAATACGTATACCCGTAACATTTCAGACTCCTCGTACGTATGTTGCTTAGTCACCGGGCAACGCTGAAGCATACGGTCGTTCCAACGCGTAAACAATGTTTCAGATGCATACATAAAATAAAAAGACATAAAAGCCAACGTAGGAGCGTTTTCTTTTATGTTGATGTTACCTGTCAAGGAGCTACCTATGGCGACCTGTAGACAGACAGCAGGCAGGGATCCATCAGGCTTCTCGGCTGCGGCTGACGAGCTAACAGTGTCGGTTTAATGATTATGCCGGGCCTATCATGATCATTAATTAAACCGACTCTTTATACGATCTACGTGTCATCCACAACCGACGAGGCAAGTTGATAAATCGACACTAAAACTGGAGGAGGATCAAATTAATCGTGTGCTAATCCCTTATGACCAAACATTCGAATTGGTGTCAGAATCGACCCGCCACCTGAAAAGCTAATCCGTCGAAAAGCGGCAACCTGTTGGCAGGCTCACCGGGAGCTCCGTGTTAGGTAAAATTGTGAGCGGCGTTGGGATTACACACAATTCCCAGTAAACAATGTGCTCAGAGGTGCTACAACCTGTGTAATTTGCTCTTTCCGCAGAGGCTTACGCGACAGCGACGAACACCCCCAGAAATTTCGTACATTGGCAACGCGACACGCCCACCTAAGTTGGGGAAAGTGGACCCATTGTAGTAGGTAAAAAAATTGAGGGACAACAAGTAAAAAACTTGGATGGAAGCTATTCCGGTGATGTCTCGGAATTTTCGTTTCAATAGTCATCAGGACGAAAATTCTCCCTCCTCTCAAAAAAGACTGTCAGGCACCAAGAAACTACACTAAAAGAACGAACCTATGATGGAGGATGTTGTGCGGAGTCGGTATGGGTTTGATTATTAAGATGTTTGATATTAATGATCCAGGAGCTCTCAAGAGACTCCAGACCTCCCTGGTTTGACTGCATCACCAAGTGAGAAGCACTGAGAAACTATCCTAACCTGCTACTACTACAAACCCAAATAAAAAATGTTAAACCATCATCTAGTCCACCACACACATTGTCTGAAAGGTTTCAACATAGGCAGGTGTACCAACCAAGCACACATTAAAAATTAAAAATAAAAAAAGTCAAGTTTAGGGAAAGAAGATTAGTTCAGAATTGTGGAATAGTCCTGCATACGTTCAAGTCAAACTCAGAAATATATGCAGCACAAGATAACACCAACTAAAAGTAATTGTGGAATAGCTTCTCCAGAACTGAACATGGCATCGTTGAGATTAATCCAGCAAGTCTATCTTGAATGTAAACACATTCTGCAAAGCAGAACTATTTCATTTGCTGGAGAGGAGTGAACACCATCATTTTGAAGCCAATGTTGCCTTCGAATCATACTTTATAACATGTTGGATTATTCATTAAAGCATGCTGCTCCTGAACTATAGATCCAATAATCCTTTTTCCGAATTTTTTCCCTTTTTTGAAAAAATAAATAAATAAATCTAACTAGGTCCATCAATTTGCATGTAGAGCTATAATATCCAGCTTGATAGAATTTTACCAAGGAGAAAGAGTACTTGGTAACCAAGCTAACTTATTTTAACTTGACCCATCCCAGATAGAACTAACTATTGGGGATACCTCTCATCATGCATTTGTCAAACAAATCAAAAGATTTGACAATTCTGAACTTCAAGAATTTCCATCCTCGAGTGAATGAATTTGGAGGACAAACATTCACAGGAACTGCCTTGGGGACATCACCATTGAGTATTGTATACTTCTATTCGTAATCTTAAATACCTAAACAGAGAGAATATTGGGAAGAAGTTACACCAAAAGCATCAACTTCCGACCTAATACTTACTACGCATGGATGTTTCCCTTGCAAACGCCGGAACTAGAGATTAACCACGATAAATCGCTGAACTTCCAAAGATTCGAGCAAACAAAGGGAGAAGAGAACATTCTGAAGAGATTAAGGACGAACAATATGTAGCAACAAGAACCCACAAAGATAGCTAATGCACACGATTCGTGGAATTAAAAGGTCCTCGTACCTTTCGCTTAATCGGATAATATATGACGAACGAAGCGTAAGATTAGAGGATTCTCCCGAAATGAAGTGCCAAGTCGGAATTCTGAATCGCCAGGACATGAAGACTTAGGGTTTCCTGAAACAAATATCAAAGGGGGGTGAGCGTGGGGGCGGGCTTCTTAAATCCAAAACGAGTCCCGCTCTGGAAAATGCCCGCCAACTCAAAATCGGCAGTAATTTATCGCTAGAGAAAAAAAATTTTAATGAAAAAAATATGGAGATAAAAATAAGTTTTTTTAAAAAAAAAAGATAAATGACAGTGGTAAGATTCAATGTTAATGCTCTTTGATATATATTGTTACGCTATGATCAAGATGTACTCGATTTAATTCTGGATGCGGATGCTCGGATAGCAGAAGTACACGTCGGGTTAAGTTGAGCTATGAGTCTTGTTACTTGCTTCTTCATCGTCGGCCCCTTGCACATATGTCGAGGTCGGGATATGGATTTCCTGACATAACATTCTAAAACTTAATTTAGCGTTAAGTGAAATAAGAATGAGTTGAATGTGTAAAATCTGATTAAGGAGGGTTAGCTCTTATACCTACCGGGATGAGTTTATCGTACGGGGTCAATTAACTACAACCGGCTCCTCGGACAGTCGACTTAAGCTTATATATGAGCACCGATCGATCTACATGGATTGTCATCACGTGACATCACCCTGAGTTTTCCGGGACGATTATACCGTGATGATATCGTTCATACGGAGGGGGCAATGAGCGACTGCCTATCATGTGTGTGCTGCACGCCACATCGAAATTGAAGTTCCACATCTGCATCGTCATGTCTACTTCACCCGAGTCCATGTGGATGATACCGAAATGTGTCATATCATATATCATTAAAATTTTTATCATCTAAACTAGTTAATAATTTTAAAATAAATAACTAAAAATTAGAAAAAATCTTCACCGTAGTCCAGCCAGCAACTAACATTTTTTATGCTTTGAGAAGATTGCTTATCCATTGTATTTTATGCTGAAATGCGGGATAGAATATCCTTCATTTTATTGCATGTGATACTTTGACTATTCAAGTATCGTAAATTCACGTTGAAGTCAAGTGTTTTTTTCTATTTGTGTCGACTAAAAGTTGGATTTATGGTATTAAAAAGTATATATATTTAATTTAATTTAGCTTATGCTAAATAAGTTGTATGACAACTTCTCGAAAAAAAGTCATATATTTTGGACCTTTTCCCTGATTACAATGTTTTTGAATGGAGTTACCATATTATGATTTAATAATAAAAACATTATGGGTCTATTGAAAATATTATAACTTTAGTTCAATTGCTTTAAATCTTACTGATCTTAGTTCTTAATGTTATCATAAGTTTCAAAGTTTTATTTGGCATAAATGATTTTTGAAAAGAAATACGATTATTTTGGTATATTTCATGATAAAGATGATAAATCTTTATTTTTCTATTAAATTTTAATTTTAGGTATATATATTCTGAAAATTTTGTAATATTTATAGTTAATTAGTATAGAAATAATATTAATCATATACGGCCTCCCGACGATCCGCTTATTATGTCGGTAGTGGCGTTGCTTTATGATTAGTGCAAAGCCAGATTCCCCAACACCTACCTCCTCGTCCTCTTTAAAAGCAAACAGAAATTAATCGAGAGGGAACCGGAGAAAGAGGGATCCAGCGATAGGGTTAGGGTTTCGATTGGCTTTCGAGAAAGATGCCGAAGAACAAGGGGAAGGGAGGGAAGAACCGCAAACGAGGGAAGAACGAGGCGGACGACGAGAAGCGCGAGCTGGTCTTCAAGGAGGACGGCCAGGAGTACGCTCAGGTGCTTCGGATGCTCGGCAACGGCCGCTGCGAGACCATGTGCATCGACGGCAGCAAGCGGCTCTGCCACATCCGTGGCAAGATGCACAAGAAGGTCTGGATCGCGGCCGGGGACATTATCCTGGTCGGCCTCCGCGACTACCAGGACGATAAGGCCGATGTCATCTTCAAGTACATGCCCGACGAGGCCCGACTCCTCAAGGCGTACGGTGAGCTGCCCGAGAACATTCGTCTCAACGAGGGCATCGGAGGCCTCGACGAGGAGGACGAGGGCGCTGCCGATGATTACATCGAGTTCGAGGATGAGGACATCGACAAGATCTAAGTGAATGGGGGTTTTCCTTTGCGTCGCCCGATCTCATGAATGATTTCTCGGTGATGATACGTTCCTTTTTCAATTAATTTTATGCGTAAATCTGCTTCTGGAATTTGGTTATAAGTACGAATATGCTTGTGTGCTTTTTAAATTCGTAAATTATGTGAGTGTTGTTGCTGGTACGAACAAGATTGTAACCCTTATCTGATATGATGATGATGCGTATGTTGCCTTTTTAATGTTTGTTGTGCGTTTTCTTGTGCTCGTAATTCTTGTATTTTGTTGCTTAGAAATTCTGCAGTTGATGTTTCTGTGCTTCTACTGATTTCCATCCGACACCTATTATTGAAATTGAAATGACATGGGCAATTCTTCCGTTAAATTGTTGTCTCAAAGGTGTTTATGTTCATAATGTTTTCAAAAAAAAAAAAAATGCTTGTCTAGTATTGATGGTGCCACATGGGAACAACAATCAGATTTGACATGAAAACTTGCTTCATGATTGCACTTGGTCTATCGTTTGGTTTTGTTCGCAAACATGTTCCTTTCGTGTCTCCTTAAGATGTTAATTCATGGCTTGAATTGGATACTGGCCACCCTTTAACTTGCTATGTGAACAAGTTTGCTGTTAATGTTAGTTTGATCTTATTCCATGATTATACGTTTGAAAGACTGTTGATATCTTCATCACGATGATCTAAATGCTATCGTAGATACATGCTTTTTGTGTTGACGTCATTAACTGCATTATCTCCTAGATCTCAAGTAGTTCGATGGAATAACCGCATCATGTTGATCTAAATGCAATCATATTCTTGAAGATACTGTTAAAAATTTAGTGAGCACCAATGGTCATTAAAAAGACTTGGGAAATTTCAAACTCAAAAAGGATGGGGCAAGCTAGGAATCATGAAGTGGCAATGTTCAGTTGGAAATTTAGTTAGTCAATAAATCAAGAGATGTGATCACACAATAGGAATGGCAGCTGGAGGCGACAGAATTTGATCCCTCATGTGGTATTATTTGGCCTAGATATGATTATTTTGTGAGTATCAGTTTGGTCCCTGGGATTCTCTATAAACATTTAAGATAATATTAGATTATGACTGCAACACTTTTTTTTGGACTTGCTTTTGGCACCGGACACTTGTTTGGACTAATCGTAGTCTTTAAACTAGTTGTTGAGATTTATTTATCTTTGCCGGATACTAGTTCTATTAGGTTTCCATGCTGTCTTTGCATTGTGGCTAGAGAAGGGATGTAAGAGTAGATAACTATAGGTATAACTACAACCTAGGAAAGCTCTTTGTGAAAGAATGGACGAATTATAGCGTTAAGGGTTGTGCTCCATGCATTGAGCTGGTTACTGGCATACGCCTGCTCTTTGCTTATACTTCTGAAGCACTTGAAGAGTTTGCACTTCTTGCGTTGAGTTTGCTACTGTGATTCACCTTCTCAATGCCATCGAACTTTTGGAATGCAGAAAGTTTTCACCCCAACTTGAAAAAAGTCTCTAATAGTTTTGGTCGCCTCTGGGAGTGTACCGTCTTCTCCATCAATCCTGTCATCTATTCCACTGAGTAGCAAAGGTACAGCACCGTATACTGCCTGCATCATTCTTTGGTCAAGCTATCAAAAGTGGGCTCTTTGTGAAAGAATGGACGAATTATAGAGTTCAAGCTATCAAAAGTGAGGTTAGAATGATACGAGGGCTTTTGTTTCTAGATGGAAGAGTGCACCGCATTGCCTATTGAAGTTTGGTCATCTCTTTCCTTGATGTATAGGGCAGGTGTATATGTCTCACAGACCTGTGGAAGGCCACAACTTCGGTGTGTTCTCTCCTCTATTTGATTCTTTATAACTAGATATCTTGGCTCTGGTTGGTAGGCCACAACTTTGGTGTGTTCTCTCCTCTATTTGATTCTTTATAACTAGATATCTTAGCTCTGGTTGCTGCAAAGTAAAATACACAACATAGGTGACAGGTTATTTGGAGTTGGTCCGCAAAGAGAGAGAGTCATGTTATTTGGTGTGAAAAAGGTGAGAAGCTGGAAGAAAGATAACATGACTCTTTCTTTTTGCCTCGTTGGGGAATGGGAGTTTGGTCGCTTCCTTAAAGAAAGATACTTGTTCCAGCGTGAAGAGAGTAGAAGATGTTTTAGTGGGATGATGGGGCTTTTGGTTTGTCTAAAGCAATTTTGATCGGGAGAGAACCACATAACGGGGCTTTTGCTTGGTCGAAAGTCAGAGTAGAGTTGCTGCGAAGAGTCTGATTACCAGCACAAAGCCTATATATAGATAGATCATCGATATTTGCTGTTGTAGGAGCAGGCAGGAGATGCAGTTGGACCTGATTGCACTGAATAGAGACAATAAACAACAGAAGAATTGGCTGTCTTTGAAGTGAGAAGAATGGATAGGAGAAGGCAGGGGAACAGGCAAGCTTCCAACCGTTATTAATCAAATCCCTTTGATCAAAGCTGATTTTTCTTTCATATCCTGATCCCAGAAACTCTTGTAGTCGTAGCGAAAGAAAACATAATGTTCTTCAAGATAGAAACTCTATAGGTTGGCATATATTATTTTTATTCTATGTGAGTTGCTAAACTTCATTTAAACTTGAAATAGATTATTGTCATGCACATCTCGAACCTGCGACCTTCGCTGGTTAGAGCTAATAATAGGTCAATACTAGTATAATAGTAAGCTTTTCATTTCAGTAAGTTTGTGCAACCAAAATTTAATTTTCCTAATTGAATAAAATATGATGATGTACACACTGGAATTATTATGGGCTTCTCATTTACGTAGCATCGTTTAGTGCATATTTTTTTTACATCCTTTCTTGCTAGTTAGTTTGACGACTTTGAAGATTGTTAAGATGCAATCCAATCTCAACGTGTCACTCGTATGTTCAGCTGCCTCGATAATTTTTATCAGCCAAAGAATTGTTCGGAGTTGCATTGTTCGACTCCTGGCGATGCCCAACTAACTATCCTTCCTAATCATTATCAGGATCTTCTTCTTATTCTTAAATTTGAAATTTACTGAAGCCTGCCCCTAATTCTTTCCTCTTAAGCAATTATATTCTTAAATCATATCACACAAATCATCCAACATCTTTTGCTGATAATTATTTATGGTCATTATTTGCACCTAAAGAGCGAGACGCAATCTTTGTTTGTCGGTCATTTGTTTCGCTCTCTTCCCATCATCGTATGTATTATTGGGGCTAGGGGATAGGGAAATCGGGCCCTCCCGGTTGACGAGGACCAGCAGCCCACTCCAACCGAGAGAGCCTGCTGTCCTCGCGTGATATCAAGATGGGACGTCATCGGATGTGACGTGTTGCCTCTTGCGGATTCCTGTGTACCCGATGCATCCATCTTTTGCTGTTCAACCTTTCCCCTCTCGTGATGACTTACTTGCGACCCTTTTGGATTTGTCGTACACCATGTGATCTTTTCTTTTTATTTATTTTATTTATTTATGGGAATTTGTGTTTCGAACATCCTTCTTCTTGGCTTTCTCCACTTGCGGATCTCAAGTTATCGGCTTGACATAGAGAGAGAGAGAGAGAGATCTTAGGGATGAACAACTAACTGACTCTGTGAATCGCGAGCATGCAGCAACGGGTTACCAAAATAGTTGAATATAACCATTGAACCGACGATCCCATCTCACAGTCTTCGTATCTCATGGTTTACATCTTAGGGAGGGAGTGGAACACCATGCAGCAGCAGCCAGCAACCACCTCGTCGTCATACCTCAAGATTCTTGTTCGTCCCCATGGAGGATTTGTTGGTCTCTTCGACTGATATCACCCCGCTTTCAACTCGTATCCCTTTTGCCACCTCCTCTTCCAAGCTTCTTCCATTTGGCTTCACCAGCCCGATCTCTGCTTCCCTTCTCCCTCCTTTCTTTTGCCGTGCAGTTGATCCGTGGTACACCGCGTGTAATGCGAGCTGAGCGACTGCAAACGCCACTCCCAAGCCATTCGGTATCTGGAGAAGAAAAGTTTCCAAGGCGGAACTATGTGATCGAAATTATTGGTAGATAATGTGAAATGAAGGGACAGAGTTGTCGAGTATCGGTGTTTGGGAAGAAGAGGAGCGGCTTACGGTGATGAAGAGGTCAAAGCGGATGGTGGCGTAGGTGGTCCAACAAAGGCCATTGACGAAAGAGGCCAGTGAAAGGGGGAGAGGCATGAACTCCACGCTCCTTGTCCGTATCACCTGTCTCTGCACCCATCCAGATCCAAATCACCTACTTCAGCAGTACCAGATGAAGACGAAACAAGGAACAAAAAAGCACAAGAGCGGTCTTGCGTTCTTGTTCTTCGATTCATTTCGGTGACATCTCGGTAGGGAGTCGAAACAAGAAGAAGAAGTAAAAGGTCGGCATGCAAGTCTAGTCTAGTGGTGCCACCAACAACCACTTGTGCTCTACGTGATCACACTAACCATCCAAGAACATACCATGGCAGCCAAGGGAGCGGCGTACATGGCGGCCCCAAATATGACGCAGAGCACTCCAGCTATCAACGACCGGCGCTCGTGGCTGTGGACAAGAGTGAGGATGAGGGCACCCACTGCACCCACGAAAGCAATCTCGAGTAGCAGCACCAACAACACACGAAGCCGCTGGTCTCCGTGGGAGCAGCCAAGGAAGACGAGCACGTAAATAAGCTCGATGACAAGGCCCGAGCCATTGATGGTGAGAACCAAGGTGCTGTGGGGGTGCACCATGGGCAGCCCGTACAGCACCCACATCATGCAGTTGAGTAGGGTTGCCAGGTACGGGGTGGCCGGGAATTGCTCCACGCTTCTACTCTTCCATATCCTACAAAACGTCGGACTGGCAACGGATCAAAGATCAGTAGCAGTATATCCGGTGGCACGACATCATGAAGAACACCGAGGAGTACTAGTGCTCGTGCTTACGCTGGCGAGAAGAAGAGCACCAGAGCGGTGGCGTTCCCTGCAACATTCAAAGCAATAATTTTTGAGGAAAAACACGATGGCTCGGGTTTGAAAGCATGAACCGAGTCTACCCATGATGCCAACAGCCGTGCGGATGGTGTCCGCTGAAACCACCATCTTCCCGAGAAGAAGAACACAACACCGTGGTGATATCTCCAAACCCCAAGGCCAATGGCAAACGTTCATATAGAGAGGAGAGGGAGGTGGGATCAGGTCTCTCCGGTCGGGTCGGTTAAAGTAGGACATGGAATGTGGGGGTGGGGGGGTTACTGTTGATAGAAATGGACAACAAAAGTAGGCTTTGCCGTATCGTTACCGTAAAAGAGATGAGAGTGAAAAGAGCAAGTAGTGCATGTTAGGCCGGCCCAAGAAGTTTCTTACTACCGTCCTCCCTAAGGTGTTGTGATCTGCACCAACTCTTCTGCTTTGCTATTCTGGGCTTGTCAAGCCATGTGAGGGTCTCCGTCTCTTTCCGGTGAAGGAGAGATGCGTACGAGAAGTTATCGATTTGACTTGTATTATTAGTAGACCTGCACAGAACATTTCGAGGAATCATTCACTCGCATTTATGGCTTTGATAAACATCACGATGGACTTCCTTATCGCTTTACGTCACTGTTATTGATGTGAGAAACTATCATCGACTGTCGCTTAACTATTCAACGTAAAAAGATAGATATGCCAGTAGAGGTTCCGCCGAGACACGTATGGCTTCAGAGTTCCTCCCTTGTTGCACTGATATGAAATATGAAGCTTGGTTAGGCAAAGTACCACCGAATACTCAATTTATAACCAGTATGATAACGCTGCATCGTCGACATCAATTCGTCACCGAGATATTTCGAAATCGACAGTTAACTACGCTGGTTTTCGTATTAATCGATAATTCCGATGCATGCAAAAAGGAAGCTTAGTTATTCTTGTCACTACTGCATTCATTCTACAGTGAATTATATTTTTATTTATTTATATATTATGGTAATATTTGAATTGTATTCCTCGTGCTTATTTGCTGATCGATCATGGCCACGTAGACTTCATCAATGGACGGCAAGGGATGCTCCGATCGTAACGGTAGCACCGGTGGGCCCGACAGGAGCTGAATCTCGAACGAAAGTTAGCGGGGGGCGAATGATCCACGTGTCGGTGGACCCAGATGCGTTGTGGGCCTTCACGATTATTTTATATGATGGGCGTTCACGAATCGTACGGCGGAGAAGCGGCGAGCGGCCTCATCGCCACTCTCGCGGTCTTCCATGCCACACCCTTTTTTTTATTATTATTTTCTTTAAAAGAAATTATTTTGTTATTATTGTCTTCTTTTTTTATTAACCGTCGTTTTGTTATCCCCCCTCCTTCCTCAGCTCCGCGAGCGGAAACCACTCGCTCTGTCGCTCGCATGGCGCTGGTGAGCCCGCGGCTGCCTCGATCGCTGCCGTGCGATGGAGCCGGCGGAGGAGGTCGGAGGAGGAGGAGGGCGAGGGGGACGTGGTGCTCGGCCATCGCCGTCGACGCGCCGCTGGCCAGCGTCTCCGGGATCCGGTGGGGATCGAGCAAGCTCCAGGGCGCGCGATCGGAGATGGAGGACGACGTCGTCCTCCGATCCGACGGCCTCGCGGGCTTCTCCTTCGCTGCCGTCCTCGACGGCCACGCCGGCTTGTCCTCCGTGGAGTTCCTCAGGTTTACTTCACCTTGTTTAGTTCGTTTCTGGTGGTGTAGACGTGGTTGCTGTCTCATCCTGTAGTTGATAGCTTATCCAAACCCTCGGTTAAGATGGAAATTTTGGTCTCTTCATATCCAATTACGAATTTTTATATCGAGAAGCTGAAAGCATTTTTCGGTGAAAGTTTTGATGATGATGATGATAATATTGTAATAAATATGGTGGTAATGATATCATTCCTCTGTTTGAGTATCGATTGGGATCGATAGATGCTTAATATGTCATGCAGGGAGGAACTGTACAAAGAATGTGTACTAGCGTTGCAAGGTGGGTTGCTCTTGACCAGCAAGAACTTCGCTGCTGTAAGAGATGCAATTCAGAAAGCCTTTGAGGACGTCGACGCAAAGCTCTTGATTTGGTGAGCTCTTGTACAACTAACGAAAAGTTACCGACATTGAACTTTTGCTCAGTTTTTGTATTTCCTGAAACTTAAAGGCCTGTGGTTTTGTCTCATCATTTAAGATTTACAACTTGTTGGTTTTTTTTTTGCAAAGGCTTGAACAGACAGGGAAGGAGGTCGAATCTGGTGCAACAGCAACAGTTATGTTTATCAGGAATGACATCCTGATCATCTCACATATTGGCGACTCATGTGTGGTATCCCCTGTTCTTATTCTGTTTAGGGTATTCTAGTCATATCATAGTTCCATATCCCACATAACAATGACTGAACTACATTCTTATTTAGACGCAAATGTTAAAGTTAAATCTCTGGTTTGCTGCTAATTTATTGAAATTTATGATGTAGGTAATATCTCGTACTGGGAAAGCTGAAGTGCTGACAAATCCACATCGACCTTATGGAAAAAATAGAGTTTCTCTTGAAGAAATCAAGCGTGTCAGAGCAGCAGGTGGATGGGTGTGTTTCCTTATTTTGCTCGCGTTCGTATGTCGCGGAGATGAGTTTTACCCAACAATCATGTGATATATAATGATATCAAGCCAACTACATCACTTGACGTTCTTATGTTGAATTAATTTTCTCCTAAGTCATAATGATCCTTATTTTCTGATTTGTTTACAAGATCTTATTTCACCAACTGTTTTCAAGGGGTGGGATATTGTTCAGTAGACTTTTATTAAGAATTCTCTTAATAACAAACTTTACATTACGATCACTAGATCTTTACTGGTAAATGTAGGGACTGCAGATGATTTGCATTTTGCACCATCAAATGCATTAGTAGGGGAACACAGCACATTTAACGCACACATTTTAGATATTGATTATTTTAAGAAGCATTAATAGAACAGCCAACCAGGTGTAGTAAATCTTTGTCAATTTGTCTGATTGTTCCAATTTGAGAAATGTCACTTCCAGTGTAAAACCTTTGTCTGAAGTCTTGAGTCTGTTCAGACACTGTCTGATTTTAAATTTAAGCCGGTTCAGTTTGGGCATCCAGATTCCAGACAATATGATTTGAATTGCTAGGTTAACAGTACTTAGTGGGTTCCAAGTTATATATCAAGTTAATAATTTTCATATGAAAATTGTAATTTTGTAATCTAGATATTATGTTTTATGTTATGTTGAAAACTTTGGTCAAACCTGGCTGATCTAGTATGTATCATATGTTTTATATGGTAAAAATTGGCTCAAAGAAGGCTGGATTGAGTGGCCCAAAAGAAAAGAACCTGGTTTTGAGCAAATAACATCACAAAAAACTAACTTCAGGTTGGTCATGCCAGGCATTTTTACTGCATGTCCGACTGCCAAGCCAGACCTAGGTTTTAGCCACCCAAACCTATTGTAGCCTGGTGCAAGAGGCTGACACCAATGAGGGTTTAGTGTGGTGCATATATATATGTATATATATGTATACATATATATATATATATATACATATATATATGCATATATATGTATACATATATATATACATACATATATATATGCATATATACATACATATATATATATATATATATATATATATATATTCATATATATATTAGTCTTGCTCCACATTCGGAGAGGTCGTTTCCATCTCTCATAGCATTGTGTGTGTGTGGTCTAACACCCACAATTAGAGCGGTGGTTTTCATATCTAAGATACATAGTCTTGCTCCACATTCAGAGAGGTTGTTACCATCTCCCAGTCCTTGGCATCCAGGGTAATGGACTAACCTTCATAACATTGAGGTCGACCCTCCAAATTCATAATGAGATAGCTCAAAATTCATAATCAGATATCTAAATCTATGGCCTACCCTCAAAATTCATAATGAGACAGTTAAATCTACCAAATAATTAGTAGATATGGCTTATAAAGATACTCTTACCATTTCCAAGAGTACTCTAGGGTTACTGTCACTATCCTAATTTTTCATTCCCACTTGACCATGTATGTAGAATACCAAGACAAGGTCTCAGAACCGGGTGGTTGGGTTATCATCTTTCATCTATTCTTACTTAAGGTGTCTGTTAGTCCAGTAAATTTAGGCCCTAGTATGCTGGACTTGGTTTAGGTTCTTATTTGTGATCAAATTGAATCATAAATCTCTAAACTGGTTTGGTCAAGGTTCAGCATATCATCAATATCTTCAGCCATAAAGAACACATGTAAATGCAGGCAGGTTAAAGCTGTCAGTGGATCTAGTTCTCCAGAAACTCTGTCTGGTTTACCTGATTTTTCAAGGTCACAGGTTCGCATAGATTTTGCAAACTCTCCTATGGAATTAAGGCACACAAACATTATATTCATATAATGCTAAAAAATTCATTATTACATATTAAACACAGAAGTACTACACTTCTGGCTTCTTAAAGAACGTTTTTAATTTTTTTTTTCACCTACATTTCCTTTTTAAAGAAAATGCTATGATATCATTTAAGATTGTGTGCAGAATCTTTATTTGTCTTTTAATCTCTTTGCCTAGATTTAATTATAAAGAAAATGCTATGATACTATTTAAGCTAGTGTGAAGAAGCATTTGTTTCGTGTGTCATCTATACATTTTGTTCTAACCAATACCTGACTTCTGTAGATTGTTGATGGACGAATTTGTGGGGATCTTGCTGTATCCCGTGCTTTTGGAGACATGCGCTTCAAGTCGAAAAAGAATGAGTTTGTTCCTCAAAACTCTCCTATGTTTTTCTGTACCTAAAATTTACTGAAATTGTCTAAAGGAAAATTTAAATTTTGTTAATACCAATATTTGTAAAAAATGATAAAGTAACCTTGCTGTCTCAATCTTTTCTGTTTAGGATGCTGATGAAAGGAGTTGAGGAGGGGCGATGGAGTGATAAATTTGTCTCCCGGTAATATACTGAGACAAATATAAAGTTGCCAACATTCTTACCCCATGTTTATTATTCTCAATTTTCAATAATCTTTTACTTTCTTTTGGTATGGAATGAAAAGACTCAATAACAACAACACAACAAAGCCGTAAAGTCCCGCCTATTTGGGGTCGGCTATATGGAATGAAAAAATTATGATTGAAATTTTTTTTTCATGTTTGTATTAATAACCATCCTTTTGAGAGGGCATGTATCAAATGCATTAATACATTTAAGTTCTTTGTAGAATCCAGTTCAAAGGAGATCTAGTAACCTCTTCACCGGACATAAATCAAGTTGCACTTGGCTCTGATGTGGAGTTTGTATTACTGGCTTCTGATGGTCTATGGGACTATATGAAAAGGTTTGTGTAGCATAAGTGCCTTGAAGTAGATATCTTTAATTAATACTGAAGAAACACATAATTGCACATCCATGAACAACATGAGCAATATTTACCGGATGGCTATGATCACATCAACAAATGTATCAGTTGGAATTAGATTTCCTTTTGTCTTTGGATATTTGAATGATGCACTTTGACTGATATCTTGCACTTCTGCTGGAGAAATGGTAATAAAATTAAACCATGTACACGAGTGTGCTTACAGAAATTAGCCTCCCACTAAGAGCGTGACTTTCTCTAAGTGGACTCAAATGTTGTGCTCCCTGATGCAAAGATGATTAAGATAATTGCTCTCTTTCTTCCTGATGAATGATTCCTGACATAAGAAAGCAACTGGTTTGTTCAGCTCAGATGCGGTTTCTTTTGTCAGAGATCAGCTTCGTCAACATGGTGATGTTCAGGTGCATATCTGTCATCTCAGTTCTTATTATCTGGCTTTGAGGATTCTGTATACCTTACTAAGCTTCATTCTCTTGGTTTTGTTTAGTTAGCTTGTGAAGCACTAGCTCGTGTAGCTCTGGTACTTCTCTTTCCTGATGGCTTGTTACTGGACATGTCTCTCATTTTAGGGCAATTCTCATCAGAGATTATATCTGTCTGATAATCACTTTTATTCTGCAGGACCGACGATCACAAGACAACATAAGCATAGTTATAGCTGACTTGGGGTACTTATCTTGCACCTTTTTTTTCTGAAAGTAGCTTTTCACTGTTTTAGTTGCTTTGCAAAGTTCTCGAGTATTTCATATGATCATTTGAGTTGCTTGCTGATTCACAAACTCACATGCAAAACATGAATTAAAAAGATTTGAGGTTTGGATGGCAGAAAATATAATACTTTCGGCAAGGTGTTTTCTCAGTGTTGCTTACGAGCAAAAAGAGAAAAAGCATGGATGGGAAAGAACTAAATATCCAACTAAAAGAAATATCATGTCTTCTCTTAAACTGTCGAGGGGAAGAAAAAGAATAGAGACCACAAAGGCTGGAAATTCATCTTGGTTTTGATTGTTTTGGGGGGTGCATGGTTTGGAGTTTGGTCATGTATTATTTCCACTTGGTCATGAAGTGAAGTAGTTGAAACACTCTATTAAATAACAGCATAAACCATTTGGTATGATTTCTGGATAATATTGAAATCAAAATAACAAAGAAGGTAAAACAAAAAAGATTGCACCAAGATACTTGTGAGATTTTCATATTTTAGTTATGCAGGACCCCAAATTATTCTATATCTTAGTGATAATGGGACTAAAATGATGAACGGAGCTTGTACCCATATCGATGAACAAGCTATGAATGTGGATGAACAGACCGTGAATATGGGACATGACACCTTTCTCTTCGTTCTTCATTATCTTTGGGTGTAATGTGGCTGGGTCACATACAAAATCTTCTCGACAATAATAAGAAACTCATATGATGAAAATATCTTGTGCCTATGTATCAACTTACAAATTGTTAGGCGACGAGAAGCAGCACCATCCTTTCTAAATCGGTGACTGATCAAACACATGACATAGTGGTACAAGGAGAGAGTTGCGAAAGACAGATTGGCATTGTATACGTGCATTATTGAATAATTATTGAAGAATATACATACTTCATAACTTGATAATTATTGAAGTGTTGCTGTCACACTATGATCCTTGGGTTCATAATATGTGCATTGTATACGTGCAGGAAGACAGATTGGCAGAACTTGCCGGAGCAGGGGCCAAACTACCTGTATGAAATAAGTCAAGCTTTGGCGACAATAAGCGTGGTTTCTTTAGGAATCTGGATGTCCTCTTTCCTTCTTGTTTGAAACAAAGCGTCGACGAACTGTACATAGTTGTGGATTGTGGATAGATCCATGGTCACCGCATGCTGGCTCGCATCTTCTCGATAAATTGAAATTTACTTTGTACACGCTGCTTTTATTTGTCAGAGATTTCTTGTTCTCGCATTGGTCATAGTTCCATCTCTTCTTTGGGTGTTATGATGAATCCCATCTAACCTTTGTCATGGTCAGATGCATAAATGCTCATTTGGACATCTAATTTATGGGGTTTAAACTCTTTCCATTCAATTATGTTCTGTTTTCAATCGCTTGCAGGCGGTCGGTCATACACGAATTGTAAGTGTAGTCCAAAATACTAAAAATGAAAGATTCCCTATTTATCTATTTGTTCTCTTATCATTACTTTTACGAACCGAGCGAGGGTTTCAGAAATCATCACCTCATGAACTCTTCATGTGTCGTCAAGTAATCGATCGAACACAAATTTGAACGCGTAGAGAAAAAAAAGTAAAAGGTCGAAATTTAGACAACCAACAACAACAAACCTTCTCCCTTCCATTCATTATATGCTCAAACTGTAATGTTATTTCATAGCACTACAGCAACTCAATGGCAAACTAACTATTTTATTACATCCCTTCTTTGCCACACTATCAAAACAAAAACCATATCTGGATCCTAACCTCTGTTGCTCGGTGTATAGCTGCAATAGATATAAAGATTTTTAAGTACCGTAGGAAGAGAGTATAGCTGGTTGGCTCTTCTTATGCAGTAATCTCTCTCATAGAGGAGAATCCAAGCTACAGACCCCTGCCTGGCTTTCCTTTCCTGGGATCATGCCTAGGGTTGGGTCCTCCGTAGTCATAATCCAGGGTGAACTCTATCAACGCCTTTCTCGTATGCACCTGTCGGAAATAAGGACATTAAGATTATTTGTATCAAGAAGCATGAAGTGCAGATTGGAAGCCATCAAGGAAGAAAGAAGTAACATAACCTACATACATGTGTAGGACAAATTATATTACACTACAATGCTCCGATCTCATTACACCAGATCATCCTTTAGTCTTATACCCACCATGGACTTGATGGATTCCTGTCAGTTCTACTATTGAGATTATCGATCACTTGCACAATGATTCGAGTCTTTACCTAAAAGAAATCACTTGTACAATAATATTTTCATGCCATATATTCAATGACAAAAATTCAATCATCTTGGAACATATCATTGCATCACATGTCTATTTAATGCACCTTAGTGGTTATTGTCTATAAAAAAATGTACATACACATGTATGTATCTGTGGCTCGAAACTCGAAAAAGTTCATTGCATTGGACCATAAATCTAATCGCAATGAATCAAAGCTAGCAAGCCACACCACCATGGAGCCTTTTTCATTAGATTTCATGCCTAAACTAATGCCATTTGCCTGATCGGCACGCCTAGATAAACAGATATGCACATTACCTTGGTCACCTGCAAGGCAGGATAAGTTCCATCTTCTGAACTCCCAACAAGGCCTGTAAAGATGAGATGCAGTATGTCACACAAGAAAACAATGAAAAATCACACAGATGAAAAAGGAAATTAGCTTTCACACCTAAAGATGACTCAAATAGAAAAATTAGCAAAAGGATGATAAAGAAGGCTTTGAATCTAACTGGCATGGTTGAGGTTATTGTTGCTGTTCTCAGTAGGCACTCTGGAAGGTTTCAAGAGGGTCGGGACCAAGGCTTCTTTTATGCTTGGGCAGCAGCAGATGGAGATGCATGCCTTTGCAGCTTTTGGCATGGTCCACCACCCATGATTGCTCTGGACAATGATGATGAAATCCATTAGCTACAAGTCAACTGCACTAACTTCGGCTACGTCAGAATTCCTGCTTGCCTGTTCTCCACCAGAAAGATATTGCATGTGGTGGTAAAGAAAGACGACGATGTCTCTTGTGTGACCTAATTGAAATTGCTATTAGCCCACTAAAATTAATACTTTTAGCTATAAGCTATTGTGCATGGTTTGCGGAGTCAAGGCTGCCGCATTGGTAAGAACTTTATCAGAACATTTCAAGAAAACAGCAAAGATCATATTACAAGGGATGCATCTGATCCAAAAGACTGGTTCCTTCCACCTTTCTGATTTCATGTGAAAAAGAAGCAGATAATCAGTGTTAACAAAGTAGATAAACAGTGAAAACACACTTCATGTTGGATGGCAAGGAGGTATAATATAACTTGCAAATAACCTCACTGCTCAATAGTTCAAATTATTCTTTCAAGTAGGATACCTGATGAACACTATGTTTATGAGACAATGGTGTTTGCAAAGTTATGTGAACCATCAGAAAAATTCTAGTTACAGGACATCTCGTACGACTACAGTGAGTCAGATTTTCCACAGTTTATGGAATATATATGAAGCATCCTGATAGTTAGGTATGGGATCTTCCATCACTATCAAGTCGAGTGCACATCGATTCATACATGCACAAGAATGCAATATGCTTTTTCTTATGAAACTGTGTAAAATGCAAAAAAAGATTGCCAGATCTAATTGAAACTAAGCCACACAAAGTGGACCAAAGTCATCAAACATGATTGATTAAAACAAGCACGTGTGGCTGCAAAAAGTTGATGAAAGCACTAGATGTAAGAACCCAAATATCAGTCAAATAAAAATAACAGGATGATCGTCTTCTTTGCTTTAATCTACTATATTCTGCATCTTTGCTCTTTAATCTGTAAATTGTCATACTTTGTGCATGATTAATTACCGTAAATGGAAAAGATCAGGACCTCACATACCTGTCACCAATGTAATCTTCAGACAATCAGGTCCATGACATGGGTGGTCGCCATCATATCAAGGATACCGCATTCATGAAGTTGACCTGCTTATTGTCCATATCCTTTGTGTTTATTGCTCTGTCATGCATGGTTCATATTTCATACCATTAATCTCCACCATATCAAGAAATGAATAGTACGATAATGAATGTTGTTGTGCCACTTTGACTTCTTTTACCTAATTTTGCACAGCATCATAGAGCCTTTGAGCTATGGATGCAGAATTTATTAGTGTTGGCAGATCATATTCACAGAGTTAAGTCACTAGTTTTTTATGATAAAAAACCACATAAATCTTTTTATGGTGTTTAAAGTCAGTGACTCAGTGAGGTCTTTCAGAATGTGAATGCAATTTTCCTTCATGCGTCAGAGCAAATTTGAAAGAACAGGTAGCATGTCAATCATCCCACTGTTATCACTCATCAAAATGTAAAAGACATTATGCACAGTAAAAGCTGACAACAAACATTTCATACATTCGTCTGGCCGAGCTTGCCTGCATTTTATCCTAATATCACTTTCCAACTATATTTATGAATTGCAGAAAAAATGAAGATAGTGTTGTGTGAACACCATGCCTAATATTCAAGAAATAAGTGTTTTGTACCTTGATCTGTGTTTGCATGAGTGTATCATAGCACAGCTTGTGAATGAAGATCTCATAAGATGGTGACCTGCATCTTTTGCATGCATAAACCTGAGCATCAATCAATTGTATCTAATGCATATTTTCTGATTTAGAAAGCTTACCAAGTTCACCAATCTCCTCATCTTGCATGAGAAGTACCTCCAATAACATTGGAACTAAAGCTGGTACTGCTTGCCCAACAGAGTATAGCAAGAAATATCAGAAATATTCATTTAAGAGGCCAAACTCATTAACACAGGTATGAGCTCTATGGCCTGAAGAGCAGTAGGCTCCTCATCTCCCCTCACAGCTCTTGCTTCATTGTTGATTATGTCCTACTTGTATGATGCAAGTTTGTCATAGTAATTACTGAGCAGACGATAGCAACCAGACACTCAAATGCAGGCTATCATATCTTCACCTCTGGGGATAAAATTACTTCACAAACAGCTACTATGATAGAATCTCACTCAACTGAAAAAGGAATACTCCACCACATGGGGTTCCTAGCAACGCAGAGATGGGTAGGGTCAATGTATTTAACCGAAACTCTGCAAATTGAGAGGACGATACTATGACTCATACCTTAAGTCACCCAAGTCACAAAGATACAACCTCACCATAGCATCAATGCTCCCCCCCTAAAATCTTGCTCCATGTCGTTTGAAAATTTTGCTTGTGCAAAATCTGAATGCATTGTACAATGCACAATTAGTGACCAGTCTGACGTCCATGCTCATTCTTAGTATGAGAGTCCGTACTGCCAGTGCAGTCTTCTGGGAGTATAAATGACCAAGACTACATAGATTTTTTTATGTTATGTATGGTATATATCAAATTACTAAATTTGTGGGACTGAGTTAGACTAGGCTCAGACTGGAATTTGGATGAATTTAGGCCTTCAGGTCACCCTAACCAAGACCCAATTTTGAAAATCGGCAAACCGGACTAGTCCAGTGATCGGGTCAGGTCATGCAGGTTAGGATTCGATCCAACCCAGCATGATACTAAAGTCAGCATAGGCCCAAAACAAAGATTTTGCTTCCATAAGAAAGCAATTATGTCATGGGCTGCGACAATGCTGTGATGCTAGGCAAGTAACTCATGTAGAATACTAACTTTGTTCATGGAAATAATCCCTTCAGATTCTGCATGAAGTTACAATTGTCAAGAACATACGAAGGAAGCAAGCATACTATGTACACATCCTTATGACCACACTAAATGATCTTTTCTGCGTGCTACAAATATACAAGCATTGCATTTCTTCCAAAAAGAAAAAAGATGACCAAGACGGAAAAAGATCCTCGATCTATCAGTTCCATCAACAAGACAACAAAAATATGAAATTTACAGATACTCGGGTATGAAATCCTAGTCCACATCCACATTCATCTTTCTTAGATCTTTTAGGTTTCTCACCCTCCATTTCAGTCCCCATTTCTCTTTTCACCTCTATCTAACACTAACTCCATCTCTCAGTGCAGTGCAACGGGAGAGACAGGGAGCTACACGGCATATGGGTGCTGGTGCCACCTAGACTTGGTAGTGGAACCACCATCTGAGGAATGCACCATCCTCTCGAAAGGGGGCATTAACACTGAAAACATTAAAGATCCCTCCTTTTCTCTTCCCCTTTCGGCCACTTCATCTCCTTCAAATGTTTCAGCTCTAATTCTCTCCTCACGCTTTTCTTGCTTTCTCTCTTCCACTGTCCCTAGCAACTGACATCATGCTCTCTTCCTACCCAGCTATTGAGGCCCCCTCTATTTCCATGTTAAGTTGGTAGAGATGTTTCATCCTGCAAATGCTCCCAATCAAAATGGTGAACTGCTTCACCAGTTGCAAGCACAAGTATCTGAACAATTAGATCTTCATATCTTCTGTGACATCATCACAAAGCACATATAGTATCATCCACCAACTGTGAAGTTCAAGAAATTGATTTCTCTCACGGAATTAGAGGGCAGAACATCCAGATTTTAAGTCCAAGCTCAAGCGTTACCATCATGGTCGCACACTGCAATTCCAAACCTCCAACACCCAAGTCAGACCACTATCTGAGAAAAAGTCCGGGTAACGGCGGAGTAACCCGCATGATGCGACTACAAAAGATAGAGTTCCCAAAGCCAGTGCCTGCGAATCGTTGCCACCCTCGTCTCCTCAAACCGAAGAGATGATGCTGCCTCCAATTCCAAAAGAATCTAACAATTGGATTTGATTAGCTCGAAGAAAAACGAAAAAACATCAACCTGGAGATTGAGTCGGTGGAGTGAATGCAGGAGGAGCAAGAGGTTGTGGCAGTGAGGTAACCGATGTCCTCTTCACCGGATCCGTTCGTCTTCCAACCAGGCGGAGCGGAGCTTCTTCGCGCGAGCCGCTCATCGTCGGATGCCTCTTCCCCTCTTCTCCGTCGGATGCCACCGCCCCCTTTCCCGTGTAAATAGGCTCGTCAATTCGTCACACCCGACCCGACTCAACTCCGTTGACGTATAAGTTTAACCCGAATCCGTTAAATCTTATACGATGACATGTCGTTCAATTTACACATCATATATATATATATATATATATATATATATATATATATA